TATAGGATTACCATTTACATCTGTAGGAATCCTCTGAGAATTGGGTTTGACAGAGATGTTATTTCCCTCTCAAAGCATTCAGATGTTTGTCCTTCAGCTGCTAAAAGTCTGCAGAACAGCTTGGTTTTACCTCCAAGGTTTTCATGGCAATGTGTGCATTAAAGTACATCATGTTCCCGGACCTGCGAGGTTAAATCTGGGAATTTTGATGGGGGTATGATGTGCGAACACATCTCACTTTTGTCTCGGGGACAGGCCAGATAGCTCTGTGCACGTGGGAACACATCAAGTAACTTCTGACGAGCCCTTGAGGGACTTCTGCGAACAGCTCTCTTAGAGCAGAATATCCCAGGTTGGAAGGGACCCGCAAGGCTCATCAACTTTCGAGACCATATCTTTCAGCACAGGTTTTAGTTTTGTAATGACCTTCCTGCTCATGTTCTGGGTAAAGAGGATGCAACAATCAAGAGAGCACATTTGACAGCAACTATTTTGTACTAAAATGGTTTTTGTACTAGATTTTTTTTTCCATGTTCCAACCACTGGTTCTTGACATATGACAAGATTTTGTTTAGCCAAGAGCAGTATTTATGTAAGCAATTGTGGACAGATACTAAGTCAGGTAAATAAATCTAAGAATATCTTATCATATAAGGATGACTTCTCTTTGTTAATCTCAAAATAATTACAGCACTTCTGGTAGCATTTGGTTTACTTTCAGGCTACTTTCATGTTTGCCAGTAAAAGTTTAAAAGTCATCTCACTATCTCATGAAAATCACTAGAATTATGAAAGATGTCGAAGAACACCACAAATTTGACACCTGCTTCTCTCCTGCTGGTGTAGTACGATTATTCCCATTCTAGTTTGAACCACCAATTTGATTAATGAAAATCAATACAGTAAACATGGAAAACACATACGGGCTCCTTCTTTAAATCATTCTAAAATATTTCAAGCCATCTTCCAACTAGGGTTGAGAATAAAATCTACTGCTTCCAAAATTTTAACGTTAAGGTACATGAACAAAGAAGACATTACGTTGCTGTACTTCCAGCTTCTAAAGCTGTTAAGTTAGCTGTGCAGAAGGTAAGTGGTTAAATGGAAAAAGACAAATGGCTACTCATTCATACATAACAGCAGTGAGCAGAAAAAACAAGGAATTGTCAGGATCATCAGAGCTAGTGCTGGAATGCACTCTGCTTGGCACAGTGCGCCACAGTGAGTAACAGAAAGGAAAAATTACACATTCATGCTTGAGTCATGACAGATAGCTCTCACCCTCGGTATGTGAATAGATTTGGTCTCAACATCACCCAAGTGAGTCAGAGTGAAGATCTGCTCTGTGTAGAATGCCATCATACTTCTGAGATTCTTCAAGCACAGCCCCCGAGCGTTGTTTTTTTTTTGCGTTGCAATTAGCTAATACATGATTTTTTCATTTGTTTCTTGTTCCCCCTATCTTTGGGAGGAAAACTGTGATGTTTCTATAAGAAAGCAAGCAGTAACTAGCAATAAATTAGTTACCTGTCTTTGGTGGTCCAGATCTGCTTTATTACCAACTAGAATCATAGGAAACTCATCACGATCTTTCACTCTAAGAATTTGTCGCTGAAACTTATAGATTTCTTCAAAACTGTAAAAAGAAAAGCAGAGCATCAGTGTACTAATTCACAGATTCTCAAGTTCTGTAGAAGTTCAGGAACAATGAATCACCTATTTGGACTTGCCCTGCCATGCCACACAAGCACAGACAGCTGCAGGCACTCTATCAACGAGTTCACTGTCATAGCATGACTGATTAGAGAATCATTCAATACTCAAACTAAAAAAGTCCTGACCCAAGCCAGCACTGGACTGCACTCAGTTTGGACAGCAAGGTAAGTAAAACCCTCGTTCTGTTTAATTCTAGAGGGATCAGGATGCCAATTAGTTGAGTAGAACCAAGCAACCACAGTCCACTTTATAAACATTGACTTTGGAGTTCAATTCTACCTAGAATATTGAAGCTACAGTCTGGAGACACTGGTGATCAATGTTTCAGCTAGCAACCTCCACAGCTACTTCTAGGAATTTTGGTGGAAGTGGGAAAATTGTGTCTTCGAGAAAAACAGCTGGGATAAATGAGCAGAAAGCTTTCCAGTTACCAAGTTATATCAGGTAGCGATGCTGTTTAGGCATTAAGAAATATTTCAGCAGCGCTAGAGGGTGAGCAAGACAAAAATCCTCCCCAAAAGCAGTATATCAAAGAAGCTAATTCTGGCCTAGACAGTGATTTTTGGAGAGAAAAAAAATGCACTACTTTCAGTAAGAAGCGTTAAAGCTATGTCAATGCATGTGGAGCTCCAGCATAGATCCTGGTAGACAACTGCATTGCCTTTAGATCAGAGACATCCCAATCACTATACTTAAGTCCGGACACATAGCATGAAGTCATTTACACTCACATTTGTAAACTAAACTTTAACAGCAAGATGATCATCAGTAAGAAAATTTCATCAAAAATTACAGACATGATAATACCAATACAGCTCATCCTTATGAAACAACCATCAGAAGAAATTTGAATTAGAAAGAAGGAATGCCAGGAGGCATACTTGGACCTCCATTTACATATGCATTTTTAATCCTCTGCTCAGATGTCTGCAGCAACTGGAGGAGAAGAGTTGAAAGTGACCAACTTCTTCATCCAGACTTCTTGGTTCAGAATCCTTCCACCACACAAGACAGATACCCTTGGAAGACACATACTTCATGGACAGGCAAGGCAAGCCTTGAATTGTACGGATAACAGAACAAAACTGAAAACCCTGCTCATCAGCACTCTTTTAAGGATTTCAGAGGGGAAGTGATACGCAGGATTAACACGTCAAGATCTGCTTAAGAAAAAATGAAGTTTTTCAGAAAAGCAAGAGTTCACGTGATGACTTTTAAAATGCACAGTCCTCTGTTACAAAAATATTTATGTTAACATGAGTGCTCCATGTGTCCTAAAAAGCATAGACACAGACCTCTAACAGAAGTGTAAAGTCTCTTTTGACAGTATGTCAAGACAAAATTGTACCTCTAGCAGCATTCTTAAGTGTAAGGTACAGATCCAACTGAACATGCATATGCTCCATAGAATATTTATTTTAATTCTCATTATAGACAGATATTGTAAGATCAGAAATGACAGACTGAATCTGTAAGGAAAAGATATTGCAAAGATTTCTGTCCCCCCTCATTTTATTTCTCTTCTTTACAACCCAAAGCAAGTAGAAAGAGAGCTCCCTGACCTCTTCTTTATCTCTACAAACCTGGTAAGTTCAACAGGGGAAGACCATAGCCAAAATATTAAGGGACTTTCTGTACACACATGGCATTTTCCTGCTCTTACAATAATCAGGATCTACCTCACCGAGTTGTCTGAGCTTCCAAAAATGCACGTTTCATCTGAACTCTGCCATAAATAAATGAGTTATGCAGGTTCCAAGCAATTCATGCAAAGAGGCAGAGCAAGATCTGCCTGCAGAAGAGTGAGAGAGAAAGCCTGAACTGGGCACATGTGCTCAGAAATCCACAGCCAGCCACAGGATGCTGACAAACACATAGCAAATGGATAGCTTTTTTTTTTTATTATTATTATTAAAAAAGAACCCATACATAATAGCGAGCAACCCTTTAAATCTGTCACCTACAGGAAACTAGTATTCGGGACTATAATGAAGTGCCTGAACAGAGTTGGCTTTTTTTTGTTATTCTTGTTTTTGTTTTCAAGTCACCTACTGTAAGATGCTGTATTGGGTCTGGCTGGAATGTTAACTTTCCCAGCAGCATTTCCCCGCGCGCTCAAGAGTGAGAGAGCGGTTGTGGGGTTTAGTTGCCCAGTACGGTAAAACCACCACAGATGCAAATACTTTCATTTATGTGATCTGTTTCAAACAGGTTTTTGTCAGTGCTGAAGACATATCACATTGCAGAATATAAGTGAATGCATTCTGTTAGAGGTTATTTCAATAAAGGATGAGTAGCAATTTCAGATTAGTTACTACACAGATAGATTTTCTTACATTAGCTTTCTTACAGCAGGCTTACCTTCCTCTGTCAGTGACTGAGAAAACAAGCAGAAACCCCTCCCCTGTCCTCATGTACTGTTCACGCATGGCTCCAAATTCTTCTTGTCCTGCTGTATCCAGAACTGAATATAAGCAAAATATTAGTTACTACAGTTCATGTTCTTTGAATACAGACTGAGAATAAAAATCCTTCCTAATAGGAGATTGTGAAAGTTGTGAAAGCCTATCCTATATATTGGTAGCTGAGCAGAAATCACTTTTTAAATATTCTACTAGATTTCTGCTAAGATTCCTAATGCATCCTTGGACTGATTGAACAATTGCAGATCTATGAAGCAAACTGCAAAACAGTCTGGCAAACTTTTGCGAGTTTGGGACCAGCTGATGAAGCTGTAAAATGTACAGAGAGGCTGCAGGGGAAGGGTGTTGGGAGTGGTGTTGTTTTGTCCTTAAAGAAATCATTGACTAGGGGGAACTGAAACTTTTATAGCAAAACAACTAAATTGGAGAGGCAGCACATGACAACCCATTGATGCAGGTTTCATTCCACCACATCACCCAGGTGACTGACTGGAGTTCTGTAAATTCTCCTAGTATTTTGGGGTAATAAAACTTTGAGAATAATCCTTAAAAAACGTCCAATCTACTATAAAAGAGGCACTTACGCACTTAAGTATCTCTAATTCTGGGTATCACGTTAATAAAACAGAGATAGCTTTTATCAGCCACAACATGGCATAAAACCAGGTGCTGCACAGTTCACCCACGTTACATTTCCACATACAGATGCGAACACGGGCACTGCCAGCTGCAGCTGCTCCGTGTTTGGTTTTGTTTGGCTACTCACTGTCCAAGCGCGCAGCTCTTTCGTCTATCACACATTGTTTGGTGTAGGAGTCTTCGATCGTTGGGTCATAATCCGTAACAAAATAGGACTGCAGGAAAAAAAAAAAAGCACGTGTGAGACAAGCACCTCTGGGACACCCACCAAGTAAGACGCTCCATGGCTTAGTGAAGATGAGCAGGTTGATATCCACGTACAACGGATTGTCACTTTACTCAAAGACAGCAGCATTTCTATTCCTCGCAGATGCTCCCAAGTCACAGAAATTACTAGCAGAGTTACTGAATTTACTGGATTCCTACAGGATTTCTAGCTTCTCGTAATCCCTTGAGTTTCCCAGCAGGAATTACTAGAAGCTAAGAAGTTTTAGTGGCTTTTTAGGCCTCCAGGAACTGCTAAGTCTCTCTGAACATCTGGCAGGGCGTAGATGTCTTCAGCAATTCTCACGCGTTTCCAGGATTTGCTTCCCTCCCCCCCTTGAGTAATTCCTAAGAAGCAGTAGGATTTTCCCAGCAATTCCTAGAATTCTGCAGCAGATTTATAATTATTTCTAGAAGGGCAAAATCATTCTCATCTTTTCTTTCACCTATAGCCAGGACTTAGTTTTATCCAGAAGCTTAAAACCTGGCTTTTTAATGAATGAACCTATTCATAAACTATGAATTGTCTCAAGTCCTCTGTGATCTTTAACAAACTGTGAAAGAAGAAAAAAATCATTTATGTGACCATACCAACGTGTAAATCAAGTTATTTACAAAATCTGACTTTAAAAGGAAGATCACAAGGAAAAGAAGTCCAATGTTTCATTAAGGAAACAGAAAAAAAAAATGAAAAAGCTGCATTTTTAAATAAAAGGGAGAGTATGCAATCAGCTTATTTCACTCTCCTGAATGGGTATTAGTAGAGTACCTGAAGCACCACGTTCATAGCCAACAAGTGCAATATTTTTCACCAGCAGGTCAGAAAATTGTCATCATCTCAGAGGGATTCTCCATATTTTCCTTATTATCCCTGCAAGGTCCAAGAACAGCAGCAAGCTCTGCAATATCCAGAGCATTTCTGCACCCTTCCCTTCTCCCCAAATCCTCCAACTTTTTTTTTTTAAATGAAAACCACAAAGTGAGAGCATCGGACATGGTACACATGCACGGAGCACTTTTCCTCCCTCAGAAGAGGGAGTAAATTGTCCCAACCCAGCATCGGCTGCATCTCAAACTCAGATTGAGCACAAGCCAGAGCTCCCCCCATTTAACAAGCCTCATATGAGCAATTTCTTCCCTCCCGTGGAGATACGCTGCCAAATCTGCTGTCACAGCCACTCTAGGAGAGGTTTGCGAGGCAATTAGTGTTGTGGTTTACCTCCAGGCAGTAGACAAAGCTAATGTGCCTGAAATAGCTGCTGGTTTTGAAGGAGTCTTCCCAAATTGCACTGGGACTATTTGCCACGGGGAGCATTAACCACAGCTCACAGGCCTTATTCGGTCAGGATTGATTTATGAAAATTAGACGTAGCAGATACAGCAGGTATCAATCTGAGCAGAAACAGGCCTTCCTGCTGCCATCCAGACGGCGTTTCAAGACTTACGGGATGACACAGCAACCCCGAAACATTCCCAGGGGCTGCACCTCTACCTCCAAACGCTGCCCTGTGACAGAGAGCTGATCTTACACTGGCGCTGAGTGCAGGCAGATGAGCAGAGCGTGCAGATGCTCAGCGCAGTGGTGCCGTCCGTGGCAGTGTCTGGAGAGCTGGGCCAGCTTTCTGCTGCCTGCTTCACAGGAGCGGGATGGCCCAGGTATGGAGCAGCCTGAAGGCTTCAAGGCAGCTGCAAAATGCCAGTGAGCACACAGAGCCACTCCCCATGGGTCACCCTCCAGAGACACCGCTCTCAGATGTCTCCCAAATGTCACTGAGCTTGCAGTGATGAACTGGAGGAGCTAAGTGTCATTCAGCTGGCTCCACTGCAGCTGGCCACTGCCTGCAGGAAATCATTAGAGGAAACTTCTATGAAGATAGCAACTCGAACATGCTCTACTGTTACACCACTCCCTTAATCGCTAACGAAATCAAGGCTCTTTTCCACCCACTTCCTAGAAGGGAAGCAAGAAGCCAAGCCCAGTAGGCTCATCAGCCATTCAATTTACCCAAAATATTATGCAACAAGTTTTCTAGGTTTCCTCTTTCTAAGACTGCTGAGGCAATCAAGTCCAGAGATGAGAAAACCTGCCAAGGATGCAAGCCCTTCTGCGGAGAAGAACAAGAGTCATTCCTGCAAGAGCTGCATCTCTCCCAGCCCACCGCCAGCGCCCCTTTATTTTATTTTATTTTTATTTTTTTTATCATCTCCCCCGCTCGTTGTGCTGCCTGTAATGCACAAAGGGGACTTCCTCCATTAGCTGGGCTCACTCACAGTCCCAGGACTCCCTCTCCATCAATTAATAACAGCAATTAGCGGGGTGAAGACATCTTACGCGAGCCACAGGGAAGTGTCACATTTTTGGTGCAGCTTTTTTTAATTATTCTTCATTAGGCCACGAATAGTCTCCAAGCTGAAAAGCCACCTGAAAGCACACAAGCTGAAAAAGCACAGCACCACGACGGGGTTACAGGGGCGCCACGTGCCAAGACACATATTTATCCTCGCCCTGTCTATAATCTCCAGTTGTATTTACTAAATATACGCTTAATGTTTCAAAGAGCTGCTAGCTGCTTATTTAAATTTTTTCCACATGTTTAGATTTTTGGTTTCAGCCCAGTGAAGGCAAGGAAATAGAAGGGTTTCCACCCTCCAGCTGAAGTTACAGACCGCCTCTGGGTTTAAATAACACCCACGATTTCAGCACTGCAAATAGCCCCCAAAGCCTTCCCAGCTAAAATTTGGAAGTTCGGGCTTGAAACAAACATGTTGGTGAACCAAAGGTTCAGCTTCAGACTCGAGCACGTTCACAGATCGCTAAAGCACACGATCCCAAGACATTCCCCCAGCTGTGTTATGTGATTGCCCTAGTGCTCACCCTGCACAGAGACCAGGACACTGCAGGAATTACTGATGCCAACCCAGCATTGTTTTTAAACAGAAGTGCTCGAGGTTTTCTGCGGTGCTGCAGATGGCGGAGAATGTGGAACAAAGTCTGGGATTACATCAAAGCCAGAGCAGACAGCTACCAAAACACCAGATCATGCTGCAGAAGGACAGGTGTGTCCTTCTCCAGTCATCCCATCCTCACACAAATCCCTACGAGGCACTTTTACTTCTAGAAAGATTAACAGCACCTGTTCCTTTCTTAAAAAAAGAAAAAAAGAGACATTAAAACATAGTCTGTGTGCTTCAAAGCAATCAGGGATGCTTCCCTCACTCTGTCCCGCTGTCCTAGTGTCTGCTGCCAGCGCTGTTATGGCCACCCAGGGAAGCAGATGCCATTTGTCACTACAATTACCGTAATCAGCACGTGATGTGAAACCCTTGATAATTTCACCAACAGTGAAAACAGAACAACAGGACTGGAGAAAGTTACAGTGCAAGAAGGATGCCACGAGCTGTGCACAGAGTAACGCTTTGCAGGGGACTACAAGCCGAGCACCCTCCTTGATTCCCATTGCCCCTTCCCAGCATCTGGCAGGAACAACAAGGCTGCTTTTATCAAGATGAGAAGTTCTTTTTATCTGCTCCTGAAGAACGAGAATTACACGTACATAAAACACGGGTATTTACGTATGATTAAGCTCATGCTTACTCAAGCCTCAGAGAATGCAATGTTCTGACGTTATCCAGCATTGTCCAAGAGCACATCCAGGAGATTATCCCACAACGTGGACTTCACAGAGGAGCAAATCTTAAATGTTGAAGAAGATACGGTGGGAATACAACAATAAACATCTGACTTGGTTACGTATAACTAAGCCTTCCCCTGAGGAGATATATATTAAATATATACACGGCACACAAGCATTGTCAAAAGCTTGTGCTTTGTTTGGAAACACTAAAAGCACCAGTTAGTCCTACGATACAGCCACATATTCTTACATCTCTCCCTCTCTCTGCTCCCTGCTCCTCCAGATGCAGCCATCGCTGAACAAGCACTTCAGAAAAAAAGTAATTTGTGTGGAGTACATGGAGGCACTTAATGCACATAGCCATATATACTACAGCTCTTCTCTGTAAAGAAAACTGCAGCAGCTCCTACCTGAAGTACCTAAAACCAGCTTTTCTTCCCCCCACAGGCATTGGGAAGCAAAAGGTAGGCCAGGGGGTGCAAAGGGACGCAGGATAAACTGTCTTGGTTTGAAGATGAACACAGATGTATCTAAATCCCAGCTATGCACCTGGCAGTTCTTGAATTCCCTAAGTGAACACGTGAACTTCACACCCATAAACGTACTCACTTGTGATGTATTTTTCTAGCTAGCTGTACACTAAGAAGTTCCACGTTTGTATCCATGGCTCAGCAGGGCTGGCTCACCGCAGGATTTATGAGCCACGATGGTTCTGGAGCCTGTTTGTGCAGGTCAGACGGCAGAGTGGAGCTCAGGAAGATGAAAGGCTGAAATGAAACCGATTTCCGTGCTCTGAACAGGAACATCTACCAGTGCTTTAGATACTCCAGCACCCGTTAATTTCTGTCCTCCTAATTGCTACTTGTAAGGAAGCAGCTTTACCTTCTCCTAACCTGCTTGGGTTGCAGCAGCCCAGGAAAGAGATCTCCCTTCTCTCCTCCTTGAACCTAGAGCCTAACTCAGCTCTGGCAGCTCGGTGGCCTCTGATTTATCGTGTTCATCCTGAACACTGAGCTGCTGTAAGCAATGCACACCTTAAACTCTGCACTACAACTACTGACTTTCAATACAGCTCTCATCACTCAAGGTCAGAGACGAGTTCACTTTCACTGTCCTTTAAGACTTCTTTGCAAAGCCCAGAATTAATGCCTTTTAATGCCAGTAAGCACCAGCAACCTTCTTTGAAGAAGGCTTTGCAGTTTCTCAAGCCTAAACACGCCTGATTATAAAACGTGCTCTACCCTGCCAGTATAGACGAGTCCTGATTTCATTTCATTTCATTTTTGCTTCACAGCAAACATGTGCAAGAACCACTTGCAATTCAAATCACATTTAAAATATTCAGCACTATCTCTTCAGCCATAAAATTTCATCAGGTTTGGGCAGTTTTCAGCGTAGTAGCACACTTCAGGAGAACCTCAGTTTCTACATCCAGAAGCCTGACATCTTTTTATACTTACATATCTGCATTTAGGACACGTGTATAACCAGGTAACAGGACTACAGCTCTAAGTAAAAAGAAAGTAACGTTACTCAAAAAAATCCCCCTGGGGGTGGGGGGCAAGTAAAATTACGGGAATGTACTTTTATCATGTACGTGACATCATCAGAGCACCTCAAATTACAGCACTGTGTAGCAAGAGGTTTTGATTTATAAGTTTAGGTACAGTAACAGGGTAAAACACCTGATTAAAATAGCTCATCGCTTCAGTATCTTGAACCTAAGCCAGCAAGGGCCTTCAGATTAGAGGTGATAAACCACGTTTAGGGCATTTACAATCTGAAGAACGAAGGCACTTCACAACTCCGAGGAAAGTACTGAAATCTACTTGAGCGTAGACTGAAAAAACTTGACTCCATGGTAAAAATAAACCCTTGAGGAGAGTGTTCACATCAAATCAGAGCCTTTAAAATATATTCAAGCTGCAAACAAACTGCTTGTTACCTGGACTTCTCAGATTGCCTGGCTTACACCACGGACATTGAGACTCATATTATTACTTTAACACAGCAAGAACTTTTTTTAGCCCAAAAGAGCATGTAAAACAGGCTCACTTCAGCAAGTCTAGTGCGTTTTAGTAACATTAACTCCTACTTCATATTTTCCTTTCTTCAAAGTACCTGAAAAACGTTTGAGCCCTGGGACTCTGCAACACACTAAGGCAGAAAACCTTCTGAAGTTAGTACCTGTCTAATTCTGAAAGCAGTAAGTAACAACCTGCTTTAGGTAGTAAAAGCCTTCTCCTACCTTTCCTACCACATCTCAGTTCTCTACAACGCCAGGTGCTTTTGTCTTTGGAAGCAGGCAGGCAGAGAGCCTGATGGGTTCTCCTCTTAAAGAAATTGCTTGAACATGGAGATACAGCCGGGTAAACTAGCCCATTAAAACCAGAACCTACAGTCCTCTAGGCTGATTCAAATTAGGATTAAACATCCATAGGACGGTATTTCACCGTATAATTGAAATGCATTAACCATTTAAGAAAAGAAAAAAAAAGGTCCAGAATCATCAACATATATTGAATTAAGAGTGAGGATGACTTTCAGGGCCAGGAACATACCTGATGTACACTACGAGGCTGCTGCAGTCACAGACAGCAATAAGTCTCCACCCAGTCATTTCTTTTTTCCTATTACCACGGTAAATCCCATAGAGTTTTTGAGCACCAACTTGGACAATATCCAACCTAAAAACATTCAGCTTCATTAGCAAAGTCTGGAGTATTTTATTTTTCCAAGACTTACTGGCTGATCATTAGAAGCTAATTATTTAGGAAAAAGGCTATAAAATAGTACTTAAATCTAATAAGAATTATTGTGTCAGACGAGCACTGTTCTATTAGCTTGATGTGCCGCCCAAATCATGTATTTATTTAACTCCAACCTTTTGGCCCGAGAGTAGGCTGTCTAGACTCATTTCACAGCCTGCAGACAATTACTGTAATCTTTAAGTTTTGAAAGTGCCATACCCAGAAGTGCCAAGAACGCTGAAATGGCAGCTGTGTTATTTAGCCATCTATCTTCATTAGCAAAGCTAATAATTACTAGCTTTCCCCCCCAACTCCTGAACAGCTTGCAGGTGGCAAGCTACAGACAAGAAGATCATGCTAAGAAGCTACCATAAGGCTAACACACAGAAGGCACGCGTTTAACAACGCAGTTTCCTAAACTTCTCTGCACCACCACCGACACAGCCTAGTTTCCTTGAAGATTGCAGCTAAGCAGTAAAAGCTCCGACAGAGAGAGGATTTATCCTGGTTGACAAACATCATGGTAGGGCCAGCACACAGGCTCGGGAAAGAGCCAAAGTGAGGAAGAAGCACCCACACATGCCAGCACACCCAAGCCCAGCAACAAGCTCCATAACTTTCCTGTCCTCTCTGCCAAGACAAGTTTCTCCAAGGAACTGATGTTACAGTGTCGCTTTCTTACCCCATATATAAAAGGAAAGTATTAATAAGCTTCACTGGGGCTTTAGAGCCAAAGAACAAAGCTTGAGAGCATCTTCTGCCTCGTCTCTAACCCAAGGTGTCAGGTTAACCTACCTGATTCTGAGAAGGAAGGAAGGAAGGGGACTTTGTCAGAAGAGGCTGTGGACACCCTTTAGCACTAGAGACAGGATGTCCAGAAGCTCCCAGGCACACAAGCAGCCTTTGTTTTTCTCATCTGTTTGGACACGGCATTTGATGGATCAAATTCTAACAGAGGAGGAAAAAAAAAAAGCCTGAAGCTGATCACTGTCAGCCAAACGGAGCAGCGCAATGTGAGAGTTACTCCATCCTCAAACGTGCCCGTAAGACAGAGAAATTCCACCCCTGCTCAGCAGAGATCTCTGGCACAGATTTTGGAGCTACAGGTGAACCTGACATCACGGTGAGGCACGACCACTGGGGAAAAACAGCACACGAGGACTGTTTAGAAAAGGCAATGCAGCATTTTGCCTCTGGTATTTCAGAACGTGCACAGTGAAACTTTTACATGGGAGACAGACAGTTCGCATTCCTAGAAGGAATACAAGAGGTAGCAGGGAAAATTTTACCCTCGAGAGTCAGATGAAAAAAAAAAAAAAGACTCACGGCTGTGAAGTCTCAAGTTTGTTCCATGTTTCGTGTCAGTGTCCTACGAGTTTACATTGCTTACAGCGACGCAGCTTACATATAGGGAAATGCGTACAGACACTAATTCCAGGAACCAGAAGCTAGCAAGTGGTTTTACACAGCTGCTAATCTTGACATGCGAGCAAGATTTGGTACTGCAGAGCTGCTTACAGGCACTGCCTTGCTAAGCTCAGCTGGGTAGCTGGTCTGTAGGGGAAGGGATGAGATCCTCAAGCTCCAGTGAGTGCAATTTCAGTGCTCCTACACGGCGCCAGAGTTTTCAGCCACAGAAACTCTAGATTTTTCAAGTCAAATGGAAATATACTTACATCCTCAAATGTTATATTAAAAAAAAAAAAAAAGCTTTTGTCTTCAGTTTTTAGTCTACATATTTAAGCAAGCAACAATTTCCATCTAAAAAAAGCATATTTACCAGCAAAACATTTGCTTAGACCAAAACCAACCACAGAGTTTCTTCCCCTTTGTCTCTGCACCTGCAGGTGTACTACCACTCTTAGTCAGTGTCACCCTCACCGCAGGGCAGGAAAAAGCAGGAAAGCACCTCGGGAACTCAGAGGGAGCTTACTTTTTGCCGGGAATTCACACAGACATTGCATGGGAAAGAAAAAGAGAGAGATTACTTAGTATCTGTGGCGTTAACGATGTTTAGATGAATATTTCATGTGAGGCTTCAGCTGGAGGACCTACGCAGGTATGTGCTAGCAGTATCTTTCCTACCTTTAGAGAATTTATGATCATAATAGCAAGGACTGCTTTACCTCAAGTGAGAATATAATGACCTCCCAACCAAATATTGTTATAACTGAGGCAGAAAAGCACATCTCCTGTAAGGCACCATCCTCGTCCACTTAACACAACCCCGCAGCACAACAGCCCAGAGCTCCCCGAGCATTAGCAGGCTCGTTCTCACGTTCAGAGCCACTTCACGCCATGCCACGAGCTACAGCTCGATGTGCAAATACCTACTTTCACGTTACAAAAAGCCACATCTAGTATGAACCACATCAAGAAACTGCAAGCAAACATTCAGCTGAAGCGCTATATAATCAACCACCGCAAGCAGTCAACAAATGTTTTTACAGTACAGCCATTTATGGTAGCAGTAAAGAAAGCAAATGGAAGATGACAGCAGCTCTACACCGAGCAGCATCACCTCCTGTGATGGAGCTGGTTGCAAGTAACAAAAGCTTGCGTTAAGCCCGGCATCCACGGAGTGTCCCTGATTGTTTAGGGAACTCAGTTTGAGCCTGAAACACGTGCTGGAGTCACGCTGACCTTAGGATCACCAGGAAAGCGAGGTCCTGTATTTTCTTCCCTAGCATCCCGTTTCCTTATTTTCCCAAAGGAAATAAAGTGTGGTATTGCCTTCCAACAGAGCAGCCAACTCTCTGGAGTCGATTAAATCAACCTCCAGCACATAAAGTCGTTGAGGGAACCCCAAACCCCACCACCCTCCCTTCTACATCCTTTCCCAGCCCATTGCTTCACCCTCACATTAAGAACCTCATGGGAACCATCCGTGTTGCAGACATGGAAACCTTTCACAGAGGGCATTTCTAGTGCTGTTTCTGCTGGTGTCCCAAGGCTCAGGAGACTCCTCGCACACATGGGCCTTTCCTTTCTGTTGATGGCATCTTATTCTTTCATGGACTTCATTTTGGGGAACTGCCTCGTCCCAGCTGGAACACAGCAGACCAGTTTACCTAGAACAGATCTCAGCTGAACGCAGTTAAGTGCCATAAAGTATTTTCCTCCCCTTCCTTTTGCAACTTCATAGATTTCTATAATTACTTGATCACACTTGAATCCCTTTTTCCAATGGCTTTACTTATTAAGAGGCATGCAGCAAAACCTTCAGAGCTAAGCAGCTATGTCCACGCCAACCTTTAAGCACAGCTCTTTACCAAATGTCACTTTAATAGACCCAATTATCCTCGCCCTGCTAGTCCTGCTTTGAACACAGCACAATCCTCTATTTGAGCAGGCTGAGTACCTCCAAAGGGAGACACACACCCCTAAAAAAAATAATAAAACATTTGGTATTCTCACACACCGCACTCATGTTGGCCAGTCCATCATCCCATCTCAAGGTTGGAAGTTTCTAAATTTTTAGCCTTTTAAAAGCCATAAAGTTAAAATTAAGGACTGGAATACACGTTCAGATACTTCACAACACTACATGGTAAGGCAAGATTTGTTCTGGGGGTTTCCAGCAAGGTGATTTCCCTTCTGTCCCCTATGTGCTCTCATTCTTTCAAAGATTTACATAAATTCTCAAATAAACTTGTTTTCTAAACTTATAAGCTGCCGTCGGTCCGGACAGAGCAGATGGAGCATATGATTTACTTCATTTGCATCGGAGGATACATGCTGAGCTCTCTCCATCACACTCCTTCACAGACATCAGTTAAGGAAAGAAGCGTCGTTATCTGGAAAACACAGGTGCGAGCCATATGAACACCGGTCATAAAAGGCACCAGCAAACACATTAGCTAAGCCATGAAGGCACAATTATTTCACGACTTTCAAAGTATGGAAGGACAATGGGATGATGGAGAATAAACTTGATCATGCCAGTCATATCTTCACTTCAGACAAGGTGGTCCCAGCCACACTAGCCTATTTTATAAATTCCTGTAATAACGTGCAATTCTCCTCCCCAGTCATCTGGGCACACCTAATTACGCCCTTAAACAAGGGGAGGGTGCCATTATCCCATCGCCTTCCCCAGCAAGCAGGGGCTTAGGCAAATGCTCGGCGTAAGGGTGGGAAGAGGCAGCAGTCCTAAGCAGGCTGAAAACGTGTGAGCAGCGTGCAGAGCCTTTCCATTTGTTTACTTTTAGAATAAGGTTTTAGAATGCATGAGGTTTGATCGGAGGTTTTTTTTGTTGTTTAAAAAAAAAATAATAAAAAAACCTGCTGCTATTTCCGCTCCCATATTCTACCGAGTAGTGATCTTGTGGTAAAGGCATCTAGTGAAGAGAAAACAGAGCGTGGAATGCACGAGCAGCCAGCCTGCTGCACCGAAACCACAGGAAAGCATCTTAGTTTCTCTTGTTTTTATAGATTAGAAACAAGTTCTTCAGCTTCACAGCTAGAAGAATGGGCTATTCAGCGCCACTGAGCACAGGTGACGTCCCAGGCAGCCACTACATCAGCACAAGAAGAAAGCCTTCAGGACACCTCATCTCCCTGGTTAACTCCTCCTGAGCTAAGCTCGAATCTCAGCTCCACCTCCAAGCATAACGCTACTGCCACAGAGCTCTGGCAGCCTGCAGCAAGCAGCAAAGCCAACGTTAGGTCATTTACAAGGGCGGAAAGGATACTACCAATTAAAGGCTTTCTTCCAGCATTAGGAATCACTGTAATTTAAACCAGAAGTTTTCTGGACTCGTTTCCTGTGCACGTACGAGAAGCAACCTTCCATAATCACCAAAACTCAAAGCCGATGCGGGCAGAGCCCGGATGGCACTGACCTGTTGCTGCTGCGGCTCTCTGCTTCTTACAAAGGTTTCTTCAGAAAGGTTTTTGCACCGGCAGCCCACAAGCTGCAGGTTTAGGAAACGACTGTCAGATAAAGATAAGGCAGAAAAGCAGACCTAGGGATATCTTCCTGTGCGTCTTGGTGGCAGCCAGCTGCCAGGACAGCAGGTTGCCACTGCTCGGTGACAGCGTGCACCCCAGAAGCACCCATCTGAAAGCTGCCAAGTTCGAGCTCCCTTCCTGACGTGCTCAGCCAGCAGGAGGACTCAGGGCACACGTGGGATTTTGCCCAGAAGAATAAATACCACTGAGTCCCTCTCACTAACGAGATGGCTTTTCCTAGAACAAAGAGAGACCGGAGGCATCACGATCCATGAAAGGAAGAAGTTAGAGAGATAAATACCTAGCAGAACTATTAGGTAATCACATCAGCATCTTGTAACTCTTGACAGTGGGGGAAGCGGAGATCTGGAAGCACTCGGCTGCAAAGCAGCCTGCTAGCACACACGCAGCGCAGCAAATGTTTCACATAAGCTGGTTAGTGGTCACGAAAGCAGGTCTCAATTATCTAGTCTGAGGCAAGTGGCTGGAGCTTAAACTATTCGGCTGCAACCAGACCGAGCAAATTCTTCCAGATCACCACTTCCCCCACACACAGATCACTTCACGAGATGCAGCACTTGTTTGGGCTCTGTTTTCCCAATTTACAGATATTCTTAATAATTTCAGAGTACAGCACTGGCTCAAGCTAGAAAAACCTTTAAACTGTGAGCAAAACCCCTGCCTTTATACAGGCTCAGCTGCATTTTAAGATCCCAGGTCACGCTTACACTGAACAAACACTCGGCCAGCACAGAGCAGATTATTTTCAAATTCTGCTCGAAGTGATCGGTGCGATCACCAGTTCCCTTTTTGGAGGAGACTTCTGGAGGGTCAGCCTAAATATTCAAGGCCTCCCACCAGACAAGTCGAAGCAGCCCTGGAGGAGGGGAAGCCACCATTAAAAATGTATGGAATGCGGCCTGCTTGGAGGGAGGCAGCTCGTGCCGGGACAAAGGAGGTGGCTGCTTCACATCTAAGGCTCCTTCCCCACATTAGACTCCCAGAAAGATGAGCGAATTTTATCAACATTTACAGAATACGCATGGCTGAAGGTTAGTCTCACCAAAAAAAAATAAAAGCTTATTGAATCCTTTGACTACCTGCTCTACACTCCATCCGTATATATCCGGCCCCTGCAGAGACAGGGATCAGATCCATTGCCACTCTTCCCAACTTCTCGGTGTAGTGCTCTCCGTCAGACACGCAGCTGCACAGCCGGAGTTGTTTTACCTTGCTTACACGCTGACTTGGGCCTTGTAGGTTTCCCAAATTCATTGCAGGAGTGCTGCTGAGCACATTTCTCCACACAAAGTGAGGTGAGAAGCTGGCTCACAGGGCCAAGGAGCGCCAGGTGAAGTTAAGTCAGCGTATGGGAAACAGAAACACTTCAGCACGTGCGTCTGCAGCTGGGAAATCTCTATCAGAGTTCGTGGTCGAGACTCAGATAACTTTATTTGGGGCCTGGGGAGAGGCAGGAGAATGACATGCAAGGACGGTACGCTTCTGGGGGACCTGGAAGACAACCACTAGGAAAAAAAATCCCTAAGCAGCATCTGAAAACACAAAACTAACGAAAACTGTCCTGGCAATTGTTTTCTCAGCGATGCTGCATCACGCAAAACCTAAATCCTTTTAAATATACCACCAGTACTTATTCTGCTAATGAAGACTGATTAGCACGAGCTAGCAGCAGAAAACGTCACAGGCGCTGTTAGCAGCATCTCCTTCTTTAGCAGTGGTGCTGGCAGCACACGCTCCAGTGTATCATCAACAACGACTTCTGCACGATTACAAAGAACCTTCTTAAAAGGAAAGGCAAACACAGAAAAACTACTAGGGCCACGCAGTTTAGAAACACCCTACTACAAGCAGCACGTATTAACATAGTCCCGTTTACTTTCCTTACGCAGAATAAATTTAATAACAGAAGATACTTAACAGATCGCTTTGCCATCCAAAAATGCCCGATTTTTCACACAGATTTACCACCGCCATCCTCCCATTTCATGGTCTGCTTCCTACATAGGAGGCACAACATTCAGCTTCGTTTGCAGGTCTTCAAAGTTTTTATTTGCTTAAATTGGAAGTGCTGAGGACACTCTGAGGCATGACCTGAGCAAGTTAGTTTTGCCAGAAAAAAAAACGAAACTGGAGAGGTCTTAAAATTTCATCTTTTTCTAGCAAATGTAACTAGTGAATCAACACGGTGAATCGCTTCAGAAACATACAGCTAGGTACAGGTCTTCTGCATAAAGCTCTTCAGTTGAAGAAAAAGGTGTGACAGGAACTCCGTGGCATTTTGTTGTGTGGGGTTCACATCTAGTTAATGGTTAATGCACACCGGTCCCAGCAGCTAGTACTTGATCCTGTGCTTAATGGGGTCCTTCCACGCAGGCTCTCGGCACCCAAAGCCCTCTCCCCATTCACCACAAATCCCAGCTCGGTGTCTTGGCAGCGCTGGCGAGTCGGTGCAGGTCCGGGTGAGCCGGCCCCGCGGCCAGATGAAGCTGTTTGCACAGACAGGGTAACTGATCCCGGGTAGAAACATTCCCGGGTTATTTTTAACTCCGATCGCTTAAGGACTTTCAGAGAACTTCACGGAGAAAATAGTGGCACAATCGCTGCGGCAGCACGGGGACCCGCTGGATGCTTTTCCTTCGGAGTAGCACCAGCTTCCCAAATTATACGCTCAGCTACAGCGAAACCCCGTGCTTCGGGCTTGAAGAGTAAAAACTGACCTCCCGGCCCTGCTCCTCCCCACTGGCTGTCCCCTTTTGAAAAGCAAACAACAACTTGTCCTCACGTTCAAGGCCCTTCCGTCTCTCCAGCTGCACCGCCAGCACGCTGCTCCGACCCGCTCGAGTCTCCAGCACGTCCCTCGTGTCCGCACACGCACCGCTCGCTCCCCGCTGTGTTTTTGGGGAGTAACTTCTCTTTTCACGTCTGTCCATCAGCACGAAGGTAAGACTTCATGTCGCTGACATCTTCCTCGCTCTGTCCGCACCGAGCAACCAGCTCCTCGAGCAGTTTGGCCGCGTGTCAGCTCTTCTGTAGGTTGCACAAAGTTTACCGGGGAGCTTGCCCTCAGCCGGGATCTCAGCCCAGAAGCAGACCTTAGGGCACTTCCCCAAGTAATTAGAGAAGCGCGTTCCCAGCCACCTCCACCCAGCTCAGGTCAAGGCCCTGCATACACTTCAGGACAGCCACAGCGCAAGCTCCAAAGCTTTTCCTTTGCTGGCAGCAGATTAAAAAAAGAAAAAGGTTAAAAAACCCTAGGGAAGCTCCATCGAGAAGCAGAGCTACACACCGAGGAGCTCCCCCGTCCGACTTTGGCACTGATGCTGATATGTGACCAGTTCAGGTGTACACATGGTGTGCCCTTGGATAAGGGTAGGTAAGAAAAGGCACAGCAAAGAAGCAAACATCTTTCTCTCCGCTACCTACTCCAAGTAATTAAGTTATAAAGATCGGAAAGAAATATTTTCTTTCACATCACCTATTCCCCCAGAGGGGCTTAGAGGCTATTCTGGACCCGAGCTGCAACCACAACGAAGCCGTGAGACAGAACATATAACCAGCAAAGAACAGAGGGTAAAAAAGAGCTGGGAAATAAATAAATACATAAATTTGAGATCATAGGGCATGCAGGATTTAGGAAATAAAACTATAGCTCAAGACAAGCAGGTGGGACCTCACCCAGTGCTCATACAGAATTCATTCATCTAGGATCCAACTCAGTTCCCCGGATTCCTAGCAATGGGTTAGCCCTGCTACCTACCAGCATTTTTAAACAAAACCCCACCAACTCTGCATGGCAAACCATTTGCCAGGCAACCACTGCCTACAGGTGTTATTTGTAATTAAGCTACCTAATCTGTATCCTGTTCACAACACCCCTTTTGGTAAAAATTTGTCTAGGCTGCTTTGAGTTACATCCAGAAGTTTTTGGAGGTGTTATACACAGAGCCAGAGGGAAAAGTCCAGATGTGAGGAGCCATTCCAAACGTGACTTCAGTCAGTATTGGTTTAACATATTCCTGAAACAGAGAGCATTTACAACGCGTGGTGCATTCACCTGGATGTTGTTTTACTTCAGCCATGCTCAGGGCCATATTTGAGCGCAGGACTACCAGCTCCTGCCAGACGGCCACTCCACTTCCCCCGACGAAGCTGGCACTCATCTCCGAGCAGCTCAGGGAGCTCAGCCCCAACCTCTGCAGCGTCCCTGCCAGGTGGGTGATGTTGCAGCACAGCCCTGGAGCCCCAAAGCCTCGCCACCATCCCCACACACCTCCAGACAGAAGCTGGGGCCGCTCCTCAGCGCACCTTGACAGCGGCACCAGGCGGCTGGGAAGCTGCCCCGCCAGGACGCCATGAGGAGCTGCCACACATGCGCTACATCAGGGCGGCACACCGGGCTCCTGGCAGCTCTTGGCACCTTGTCAGCCCTTCCTTCTCGCCTGCGAGTCAGCCCAGGAGTCAGATCTGCAGCCTGGCGGCGGTTCCGACTGAGCAACACCCGGCTCGGCGGTGGCGGTGCTCCGGGAAAGCCAGGAGCCCGGGGGTTCAGGTTTCACAAGAAGCGAAACAAGCAGCCCTTATTATTCCAGGTGACTGCATCACAAGTGCCTTGTTTGGATTAGGATTTTTTACTTCCCACCTTCTCCCGACACACGCACACGCCGCCTTTAACCCTGATGGATGCCGGCGCCGAGCCGCTCACGCTCCTCAACTGCGTTTTGCCGTCTTCTGTTAGGGCGCGCTGCTTCCCGCAGGAAGGCCCCACTCGTTATCACAATGTAAGCACACCACTCGAAGCATAGCCCTACATGAATCCACAGCCTGGAATTCATGGCATTTTAGTCCTTTTTTTTTCCCCCCCCAACGGTCTCGCTTGAAGAGCGCTTTCTGAGGGCCAGCAGTGGTTCAGCAGAGCACCTAGGAACAAGAGAGGGTTTTGCAGGGGCTGCCAAACGCCCGGGGTGCCGGCACGAGCACCAGCTGCAGTTCAGTTGTTGCTTTTCCATCTGCTTTACCACTCTGCACCATTAAGTTCGGAACAGGCCGTTTTCTGGCCCAACAGCTCTATGAGACATGAAAGGTGCTTGGAGCTCACCCACCTTCAGCTGCATTTCTAGTCAGCAAGAACTAACATCCCGGTGAAAGCAGCAGCAGGGGAAAAGAAAGGAAAAAGAAAAATAGCTGACCAGTTGCTCACCATCCACCTCTAGGTCTTACACGTTTGCTTTCAGAGAAACATCTCGTATTAGGCTTCAGGAGTCAACAAATGTACATCCTATTTGCTTTACTCACTTGCTCAGCAACACAGCCAGCTCAGGTCCCAGCAGAACTCCCTGCTGACAGTTGGAAGAGCAGGAGGAGATGTATTGATGTAGCAAATGCCCACTTGTAAATACAGCAGGAATTCAGTACACGCACACAAAGCGACCAGCAGACCCCTACGTACAAGCTGCACCACATATTTGTGCATTACCATAATCAACACCAAGTTGACCAACAAACTGAGCTCAGCTCAGTCCCACTGAACTACATCCAGTCACCACCACCTCCAGTGACATTTATCAACCAACACATCTGTGCTACCCGCTGGAGTCCTATTCAGCAGGCAAACATCCACGGGCATTTGTCCCAAAGCACAATCTTCAGTTCTATGAAGAGGCAGAACAAATAATTTTCACGACTTGGATCAAAAGCACCCCCAACTTTGGGGAGCAGAGACTTGAGAGAGCAGAGCGTGAGGGGGCTCCTTGCTGCACAGTGCTGAGACCAGCTCCACACAGAGCAGTTTAACCAAAAAAAAAAAAGCATGAAGTAAATGGCAACTGCAGGACAAAATATGCAGAGGGTGATTAAGTATTTGCTAGGCTGTACTCCCTTTGAGTAAGGAAACCTGAACATTACAAAGGGCTGAGTTAGAAGGGAATGTGGGGTATTTTGTGACAGACCTCTGCATGACAGCTGGAGAAAAGCTATTGTGGCAACAGCTGTGTGCTCTGCACAGCTCATACTCCCAAATACCTCAGCCTGCTACAGGGCCAGCTAACTGCCTGCAAGTTATTTCAGAAGTTTTCTGCCTCTTTTGGGATCTCAGCGTGATGGATTATTTGTTTATTTTTCCAATAAGAGGAGGAATGCTTAGCTCCAGCACTTAGAGTTTTAAAAAGACCGTAGTCTAGAGCCTGACTATCGTTTGCCGGGGCTTTCCTGAAGTTTATAGCTGTGTCGGATCCCATCTACTCCACGACTGAAACTTCTCCACTTCCTGCCTACCAGCGCGCAGACCAGGGAGCACGAAGTTCATATATCACATCCTGATTTAAAGGAAATGATTTTAAATTTCCAGGATGAAATCCTGTCCCACCAACGCCACTACCAAGCTCTGTTTATCTCCTCAGAGGAAGGATTTTGAGGAGCACAGCAGTCGTCTCCCCGCCGAAAGCTTTGATCTGTTACTGCCTTCTCTAAAATTTCTCCGGGCTGTAAGAGGAGCCCCTGAGGAGTGAACCCAGCCTCTCACGGGCAAAGAGCTGCATCCCACATGCTGCTCTGGTCAGCACGAGGACGCCAAACCCTGCACGGGGAAGGGCTTTCTTGCGTGACACCGGCTCGTTCACCCAGCCCCCTTACAAGGACATGGTTGTTTCAGCTCGGGTTTTAGCACCACAATCTTCAGCTACCTCAGAGCCACAGTAAGAGCCTGGCCCCCGCAGCAGGTCCCGCTCTCAGGGCGGGTGCCAACACCTGAGCGAGGCTGAGAGCCACGGAAAGCAGCTGACCCAGTCCTGCCCACACCCCCAGCTCCCTCTTCGCTTATTCCAGCCGAAATGAGCCAACAGTTTCCCCTCTTTCCAAACACAAAACCCCTTCAAAGGGACACGGTGAATGAAGGTGTGTGCCCGGCACCACACCAGTCCTGTTTGCTGGGAAATAGCGAAGCAGAAGCAGCAGTGGCTGCACTGAAGCACTCCCTTGCAGGAAGTTAAGCCCAGGGCTATAGGGAAGCAAGCCCAAGTGTGGAAATATTCACTAGTGCCAATAAGAAAAAAAAAAAAAACAACTTTCCTTTTTAAGCTTCAGAACTGAGACAGCAACAACCACGCTACCACGAGCAATAGGGAGGCAAACCAGGACCGAAATCCCTCGCTGACACCAAGGTTTGTCAGGAGGCCAAGCCCCGTACCCAGCCGTGTTCGCGTGAGGCACCGACAAGTTTGTCACCTAATCCTGAACAATTCCAGAAACGGCGCATGTGACTTGCTCGTAATCAATTTTAAAACACTTCGGGGTGGCTTCCAGGCAGCCTTAAAAGACAAACGGCGTCCTGGGCAGGGCACCTGCCAGGCAGAAGGGGCTGGTGGGGAGCCCCAGGAGCACAACACGGGTGCACAGCCACCCCGCCAGGCCTCACCTCTGGCTGCCGGCAGCTCTGTGGGAGCACAAAACCCACCCCCAGGCACCCATGGCTCTGCTCAGCACAGCCCAAAGCCCCCAAATTTCCCTGGGGCAGGGCTCAGGGCGCGGTGCCAAGGCTTCACCTCAAGGTAACGCAACCGAGGGGGGCGAAGCGGGGCAGGTGGCTGAGCGCTGAGCGAGCACGGGTTAATTTGGGAAATTCGCCTTCAGCACATCGGCTCGGGGTGATGCTGCCACTCCAGCAGCGCTGTTTCGGAGCAAAACCCTTATTTTGTTGCCACCCCTTGCAGGAAACCCTCACAGAGGGCTGCTCCGCCACCCCCTGTGAGCCCCCCAACCCGAACTTCCCCGCGGGTGGCGTTACCCCAAAGCCCTCCCCGCACCAGCCCCGGCCCTGCAGCGACCCTAAAGCAAAGCAGCGACCCTAAAGCAGGGGGCCCCCGCCCGGCCGAGCCGCCCCCTTTTCCCCTTCCCTTCCCTCCCTCCCCGCGGGGGAGCCGGGCCCGGCGCGGCCCCACCCCGGCGCCGCGGGCAGCGCCCAGGCCCCGGCGGGGCTGCGGGGAGGGGACGGGAGGGGAAGGGAAGGGGCTGGGAGGGGAGCGGAGCCCCCATGGCGGCCGAGCCCTCACCTGGATGAACTGGATGGTGAGCGCAGACTTGCCCACGCCGCCGCCGCCCACCACCACCAGCCGGTATTTCTCCTGCCCCGGGCCGTCCCTGCAGCCCGCGGCCATGGGGGAGCCGGGTCACGGCTCCGGCGCCTGCCTCCTTCCTCCTCCTCCTCCTGCCTTCCTCTTCCTCTTCTTCCTCCTCTTTCTCCTCCTCCTCCTCCCGGCCGCTGCCCCGAGCCCCAGCCGAGCGCCGCCCGCCCCCGCAGCCCGGGCGCCGCGGCTACAAATGGCCGCCGGGGGGCGGGGCCAGCCCCAAAAATGCTAATGTGTTTATATATATGCATGAAGCAGGGCGGGGCCTCCGCTAATTGCCCCTCCTTGAGGGTAATTAGGTCTTGGGGGGGGTAATTAGAGCGTGGGGGCTCGCACGGTTACAGCCTGAGGAGCCCCGGGCTGCCCAGCAGGGAAAGGAGAAGTGGGAGAGGGGTCTGACAGGGGGCTGCCCCGTCCCAGCCTGCAGCACGGGGAAGTTGGGCAGAGAAAGTTTCAGTGAAGGAGAGCCCGGTGATGGGATGAAGAAATGGGTTCAGGAAGCAAAAGGAGGGTTTTGTCCCCACAGACACACCCGGAGCAGGGAAGGCTCTGCTGGAGCTGGCCCCAGCCAGGCCCAGGAGCCGGTGAGCGCATGAAGGCAGCAGGCCCGGTCCCCTCCTGCGCTCCCGGCTGCAGGAAAAACACTGAGGTGAAAGACGAACCTCAACTGGTACCAGGCCTTAGTTTACCCAAGAGGTGCTTTGTTTTCAATAAAAGCCCCGTTAGGATTTTGTGGTCGGCTGCCAGCTCGCAGCTCACTGATGTGGTGGCCTCCTCGAACCCAGCCGTAACCTCCACGCTGACTCTTGCAACAGGATATTTGGCTCCTTTGGTCTAGAGACACATCGAAACAAACATTTTATTTTTCCCTTATCTTTTTTTTTAAGGTTTCGGTTTCATCCTACGTCACTTTAAATAGCTATTTTTGCTGGTGTGGCTATCCGGTCTTGTGAATTTCACTAAAGAAACAACAAGAGTTCCCTAACACTGACAGATAAAGGATTAAAACAATTAACGCAATCACCCATTACTTGAACAAAGGCTCTATTGTGAAAACTTATTACTGTTAAAACCTTTGTGTGGGGTATTTTGGGGAACGAAATCCAGTTCCATAAATAAAGCAATATTCTTGCAAAGCTCGAGGCAGCGGTGGCAGAAGAAGAGCTGGGCAGCACCAGAAGAACAGCGCGTTTTTGGGGGCTGTAACTGTATCCAAAGATCCCAGGGTCGGATTCAGAACCTTGGCTTCCCTCTGGCAGCCCTTGCTACCAGCCCTAGTTTTGGGAAACACGGAGTTTACTCGTGAATAGACATGGAGATGAGGACACAGCACACATCAGGATTCATTTCAAGATCGGCTAACCTAGGAATGGCTGAGAAATGAGGTGTGTAGAAGGTGAAGACAAGAAACTCGTAACTGATACAAGGTGCCAGGGGAAGATGATTAGAAAAGGGGTTTGTCCATGAGATCGGGAAAATAAATTTTGCAGCTCCACAGGGAAGAGCAGGGTATCCATAGGGAGGTGGAAAGTGCAGAGTTTCATACTAGAGAGGAAGCGCTTGAGCTATCAGGATGTGAGATGGCAAAGATGATGCCAAAGTTTTGGTAAAGTGACTGGGAAAGAAAGTACAGCTTTTAGAACCATTACATAGAAAGAAGCTGCATCATTTCAGATCTAGCCTGAATACGTGTATTTAAAGAGAGACAAAAATCAAGAATGGCATCCAGATGGCAAGCTTAAAAGATAGAGCACCACACTGCTTTATATAATGACAGAAAAAAAAGGTTTCAGGAAGTGCTTGGGGGGAAAATCCAGAACTTCATTGTACGTTGGCAGCCTGGCAAGGATGTCTTCTAACCTCCCAAGCTGACATCTATGCAGTAAGTGACATACTGAGAGCTAAAAAGTGCTCTGTGAGAACATGACGGCTTAATTAAGAGAGAACTTGTTCACAGACTTAGTGCAGAAAAAAGTTACAAAATCTTTGGGACATGAGTCAGCACGGTTGGTTACTGTAATGCTGAGTTGTGCCATTAGAGAGGTTCTTACAGGTGGCATTGTTTTTTACCCCATGCAAACAGGCGCTGAGCATCACCCCTCACACCGTATGGGCACCGCGACCTAATGAAACCCGTGTGCTGCAGTTCCCAGCAAGAACTCCACTGCTGAGCCTACAGGGGCAGGTGATGGGGCTTCACAAAGTCATAAAGCAAGAAGCTAGGGACAAGTGTTACAATCTGATTTTCATTGGGATAAGAACGGAAGACTTAATTCAAAATAAAATGGGCAATAGTTTTTCCTGCATTAAAAATAAATAAATAAATAAACTTGAACTAGTTGTTACACTTACCAGCAACCAGAAACTAAAGAAAAGACAAGGTATTTCTTCACAGGCACATGTACCAGTTTCTATCTGAGTAAGAAGTAAAACTATTTTCAGCCAAGTAACTGCAGCTTTTGATAAAATGTTCGTGTATTTTTGTATCTACCTATTCCAGTAAAGAACTCTGAAGTAAATACTCATACACACGCACAGACACTTCAAAATATGTCATTTTCTTTGAGGTTTGAAATTGTCTTTTTTTTTTTTTTTTTTTTTTTAAGTTCTATAAATTGGGCTTGACAATTTTTATTAATTACATGATTCCTTTAGAACTTCAGGCGTGCTATACCCAACGGTAATTATAAAACAATGGCATCCCAAGGAAAAATGAGTAAAAGTCTCCCACAGTAACTGAGTAAGACCAGGATTTTAGACAAGGAATTTGAGATGCTGTATGTTTTCCCTGACACTTACATAACTGCACAGAGTAAGGAACAAGTGGGAGAATTTTCTTCAGTGGAAAATGCACCAACAGTCATTTAGTGAGCAGGTCGGGGTTGGCATGCTCGGATATCCAGGCAATCCTGTAGCAAAACAACCAGTCCAAAACAAACCAATGTATATCTACATACACATTTAGATTTTGTGTTTCTATATATATTTATGTATTTATTGCTTGATATTGCTAGGATAAAAAAAAAAAAAACAAAACAATCTCTTGTGTTGCAGCTGGTGGTGCCCAGCAGCCGAAATGATGGTGTCTGCTGACTCTGGAAGTTGGGGGGCTCCACCTGGGAATAAACTGTGTCTTCCCGCTCACCCAGGACCCTCCTGCATCACTGCCACCAATGCTGGGTCTTGGGACAGCAGGTGAGTGTACAGTGCAGTGCTGTCGCCGCATTTACTTCTCAGGGCAGTGAAAGACAACCCCACAAACCACAGCTGGACTTCCTTGACGAGAAAACGAGCTATTTTAGTCAACACACAAAGTTAAAACATCATTAAGAAAACTCTGCCACTCACCTTGAGAAAAACTGAGAGCTGGGGGGCATATCTTGGTTAGTTTGTCTTTTCCTCAAGTCAGGAGATCATGCAGCTGGCAGAGCTGCGACGTCAAATTCGTATTTCCACCGCTCAGACAAAGCTCCCATACCAGTACTGTTCATCCAATCCACCTTCATTATGATGTTTAGGAAATAAATAAATAAAGTACTAAAACAAGTAATTAAACTATTCGGAACTACCTGTAAGAAAACAAGATAACTGACAACCAGCGTGTTCTTCTCCAAGAACAAACTGTGTCAAACCAAAATATTTTTCTTCTCTGATTCAGTAACAGGCCTTTGAGTAGGAGGAAGCAGTAGGTGTTCTACATCTTGATTTTAGTAACGCCTTACCTGATGTTCTTATAAACAGCCTGGCTCATCTTTAGATGGCAGCGCCAAAGGGGAGACAGAGCAGGTGGGAGCACTGGACACAAGGATTTTCAGTGGTTCATTGATAAAGCTGAGGGTGGTACCACACAACTATCCAGAAGACCTGACACAATCCATTATTACTGAATATTTCGGAAATCATCTGAATGACGAAACAAGAAAGCACATCTCCTAGGTTTTCAAAAGCTGCGTGCTGGAGGACAGAACTAGAATTCTGCACAGCCACAAAAAGCTGCAGAAAACTTCAACTGAATGTAATTCAGTAAAAATGCTTGCATTGTTCCATATGTAGGCAATTTGTCTACATTTCCCTGGAGTCAAACATGCCTACTTCACTGCAGTTAGGTATATTAGAAAATTAGGCATATTAGAAAAGAATGAAGCAAAACAACAAAAATTTTGCTTTTTCCTTCCCTGTGCTGACACAATGGATTTTCCTTGCCTCTTTGTATTAAGACCTGAGTTTCAACTCCCTCTTTTTACTGACATACCTTCAGAAACCCCCTTTCTTGCATTTTATTTCCCTTTCTAGCTTGCAGTGTAATCTACACCATAAATGCTTATGCTATCATTTCAGTATAAATCCTTAGTATGATGACCTACATTTCATTTTCTGCATGTTCCCTTCTTACACAGAGATCAAAGAAGAGCTAATGACTGAGGCACTCTGGTCTCACTAAAATTCCCATCCTTTTTTTACACTGAGGTGCTTTTTGCTTATGCTTCATAGCAGTTCCTCAGCAAACTGCCAACTCTGCTTTTTTTCCTATAAATTCACTTTTTGCGAGGCCACTCACGTGCGGTCTCATTGCTATTTCCCTTTACCCTTTCACGACCCGTTCCTAGATTATTTTTCAGATAGGGTTTTTCTAGAACTCATCGTCACAGTATTTCAGCGCCTCGGCTGGATGCAGACAGCTGAAAACTCCACATCCACACAGGAGCAAAATGCAGTAGGAATCATGTAGTGCAATTCGTGACCTTGAAATAGCACAGTGCCAGAGCACAGACTGGAGTTTTCCAGATGTCTGGGGCTATGAAACGATGAGACTTAAAAGGTTCAGTACTTCAGAGTGGTTTAAATAACTGAGATTGCAGTGTAGGGTAGATACACCGGAGGTAAATTTAAACAGGCACATTTCTATAGGGTATGCTGTTGGTACCCAAACTAATTTACCCACTGTCTCTACAGTGTGTGCTTCCCTCTGCAATACACGCACATCCCGAGGGCAGCAGAAGGTTTAAATGAGATGTATGGGATTCTTCCTTGACTCACCACGACCTGCCTGGTAGAAATAACCTCTCTCTGTTGGTTGCTGGCTGCCCTATGTTTGATTCCTCAGGATATTACCTGCCTATCTCTTGGTGGCAACTGAAACTACTGGAAATCCACATCATGTGGAAGTTCTTCACAGAGAGGGTGGTTGCACACTGGAACAGGCTCCCCAGGGAAGTGGTCACTGCACCGAGCCTGACTGAATTTAAGAAGAGATTGGACTGTGCACTTAGTCACATGGTCTGAACTTTTGGGTAGACCTGTGCGGTGTCAAGAGTTGGACTTGATGATCCTTAAGGGTCCCTTCCAACTCAGGATATTCTATGATTCTATGATTCTATGTGAGCTCCCTCTCTAGCCCACTGGGCTGAAAGAGCTGTCCTTGAAAGCACTCACTTCGTCTTTGACATCTCCAGTGCTAAAAACAGGGCAGGAAGGATTCTCCACCCAGGGGGTGCCTTCAAAGAGTTGCTGCTGTTAGCAAGGGGGCTTGGTACAACAAGGTCCTGTCCATGCAGAGCTTCACAGATACAGAAATATTTTTCTTTCTCTGGTTAACACTGCTTGGGGACATGAATTTCTGTTAAGCAGATATCTTTCCTGTCCCCACTCTTTTCAATGCGTGGTATCAGCAGAATGTGATGTTTCTTCACGCTTCTAAGATCTGCAGTGACAGTTGCCCAAACTATTGAAGCTTCCCTTACTGTTATGGGTGACTCTAACTACTGGCCATGGTTGCTTATTAAGCACGGGAGGGCATCTCTGCACCAGTAAATAAAGGGCAGGCTAGTCTGTCTGTGCTTTCAAATGTCACAGCCTGCTGAAATCGCTGCTATTGCCTCGTGAAACTGTTTTCTCAGCATACAACAATTGGCCTCAGTGCTGTCATTTCATCATGTAAAGGTTAGGGACGGGTGAACAGGACCTAAAGACCCAGAAGGGTGTTTTTCCAAAGCTCAGCAAAGACACTACCCCAAGGAAATTATTCTCTCCTGGTTTGCCCCAGTGGAGCTATGGGGAAATGGGAGTGGAAGAATTGCTGCAGGTGAGTGACCAAACGGGCTGTTTCAGCAATTTCTTCCGCAATTCCTCTTCCACTCCTCCTCCGCCCGCCCTGATCTGCATATATCAAGGAAATGCTACATGCATCGTAGACTACCCTATGTCCAGAATACCTTTGGCTTGGCTCCCGAAGCACTCGCAATGCTTTTGGTTCAAAGGTGATGTTGGCAGACTTCCCCAAATCCATCATATTCTGACCAGTGAGGTCTACTGCCAAGAAGAAGAAAAGCATTCATTCAGATACACCAAACTAATTTGCACTAAGATTTCAGCTGAGGAATTAACATTCAATTTTTTGTATTTGCCCGCGTTGTTTCTTACCATTAATCTAGGCGAGTGTTAGCGGTGGGTCACAATGGTGGATTCTGTACAAGCATTACAAGACCCAGTTGCTGTCACACAGAAGTTATAGACTGAATAGACAGAAGAAATATTATTTTCCCCTTTGCAGACAGGGCATTCAAGCACAGACTTGCTAAGGAATACGCCCGAGGATACGCAGAAAGCTGTATCAGTCAAGTGAGCCATACTGGGGAATAAACACCACGAGCCCTCTACTTATTCTTTCTGCAGATGCTCTGTGTCTTCCTGCAGATCAGCCTGTTCATGTGCACCAGCAGCACTGCAGCTGAAGAAGCTGCTGAAGCAGTTTTCCTTTTCGTTGTCATTTTTAGGGGCGTGAGAAGAAAGGACTGAAGTCCACATGAGTCCACAAGATCGCTGTAGGAATGCATTCACTCAAACGTTTTATGCTTTTACAACAGCAACAGAATTGTATCGTGTTTGTTTATGCTTTCAAATCACTGAAAATCAGAATCCATCTGAAAAGTGAAAGTGAACCTAGCAACTGAAGAATGGGGAAATTAAGGTAAAAACAAACAGGACAGCTTGATAGCGAGTGCCTGATAAACAGACATTTTACTAAAAAGGAGACTTTTCAGATATTTCCATGACATGTTGTTGCCACTTGAAATGTGGTGCCTTCTGGTGCTGTCTCAGAATATCTGGCAGAACATGTTGTATGTAATCAGATGCTATTTTTTCAATGTATAACTTTTTTAAATCCTGTCTTCTCCGATCAGCAGAGTGCAAGACGAATGTTCCACTTGCTAAATAATCTCCTTCAGAAAAAACGAGCAAGCCTGTCCCCAGGATTCTCCAGCAACCTCCAACTCCCGTTTTTAAAAGTTCACGGTAATAATATAGCAAAATGTTTAAAATGCCTTGGCTCACCATCAAATCTATTAAGGGAAAAGATATTCAAAAAGCATACGTAGTAGTAATCACAGCAAATGATAATGGGATGTGTATAACACTTGATCATTAAACCTATTGATAAATCTAGATCTATCTTCTTCCTAGTAATGCAGAATAAACAGCCGCATCAGGGAGTTTTACACTGTGCAAGCATTCACCTCTCACTGACTTCACCGGAGTTAATCCTGTGCTTAAAGTGCACTTTTTTTTTTTCTGCTACCTTGTTGAGTTGGGATGCTGCTCAATAATATTTCAGCAAACTCTTACCCAGCTAAGTAGTTTCTTGGTTCCCCAGGTAGCATGTACATGTGGACGCCTTCCAAAAGCAGTTGCAATGATGCGAGGGCCTGATTTTAATCTGCAGTGTTTAAAAAAAATAAAATAAACAAAAAAACAAAGGATGGAAAGGAAACTGGTGAAAATGGAAATGAGCAGAGACGCTTCTACATAACACATTGAGTGGGGCGCGAAGGCTTGTAAGACATCTCGCCCTGAGGTCAGCACATCTTCGGTGGCCGCGGCAGAGCTCACACAGGAAGCCAGCAGCTTTTTCTCACGTTACCACGCTGGCGAGGAGCCGTGCACAGAAGCACAGCGACTGACCTGCAGCTTGGCTGGGTTCTGGCATCCAGCTCAAGGCGTTGGGTTTGCACTTCTTCACAACAGCTTATAAGACACAAGCAAATATTTGCGCGCTTGGCTCCAAGCAAATGAAAACATCGAAGTTCTCGCCTGAGAACCGCCTTTTAACAAGGAACGCAGTGAAACGGGAGCTGATTAGATCAGATTCGACTGTGCCAAGGTCTCTACAACCGCGGCATGCACCGTACCATTGTGGGCAAGATGCAGCCAAGGCCTCCTCTCCCCCTCGGTTTCCTAGGAGGAGGGTTTAGGTTCGCCTGCTTTACCCACTGACCCCCCGAGGATCTTGACCCACACATCTTCCAGGCAGCAATGGTTACTCAGCCTGCCTGTGCCCTGGACACATCACCTTCAGATGTTGTACCTCCCCTCTTGGAGAGAGGAGATTCCCCAAGAGTCGCTACATGGTCTGAAGCCTGTTGCCATTTTCTGTCCTTTAAGCCTAACACGGGCCCCTAAAGAGGTCCCTAAAAAGAGGGACACACAACAGACATTACTCCTCCACTAACCGGCTTACCAGGCACGTCCTGGGAGCGTAACTCAGTGACTCCAGAGGGAGCCAGAGACTCCTCTGGCAGAAGGTGCCACTCTTCCCCTCTGCCAACAGCCCCCCAAAAGAAACTCACAGAAAAGCAGCCCACTTATTTAGGCTGGAACAAGAAGTACTGGCTCAGGAGACAGCTGATGCCGGCTGGGAGATTCTGTGGGGTCTAAAAATGGGACCAAAGGCCACCTCCTCCTTGCAGCTCTCCTACAAGCTCTCCCTGCAAGCTCTCCTAGGTCAGAGAGCTATGGTAGCTATTCATGTTAGCACTGGCATTAAGCTTTTTACACGTTGGCTCAAAGTGATAATGAGGAGATTTTGGCTTCCAAGTGCTTTCATCAAGCCAGGCCTCCACATTTCCTGAAAATGCAGTTTGTTGAAAGCAAGATTTCACACCACGTTTGACCAAACTTCTTTATCATTCCTGCCCTCAGAAAAGTAAAGTCATTTCTCATTCTCTGTTATAGGAAGTCATAAAAACAAACCTATCATTTATTCATGCCCTACAGGCTTTTTTCTTTTGGTACTTGCCTTATTATTAGAGAACCTTTCTAGATAATTGGGCAATGAAGTATGCGTGTTTTCCAGGGCAGGGGGTGGGGAACAGACATTTTTTTCCAGAAAGAAACAGAACAATATCTAAGGAAGAGCCTCTTCTTCTTCTTCTTTTTAATTTATTTATTTATTTATTTATTTTACTTTGTTGACCTTTTAATGTGGTCTGCATCCGAGCAGGGATGTATCCTCTCCACTTCTTTCTTTCATGTCGGTCAGGATTTAATAACGTGAGAGGCTTAGTGCACAGACCATCATTTCTCACCGTTTGGGAATGAAACGGACATGGTCACAGCAGTTACATCCACAAGCTGCATGATCGTGTTCTTCTCGTGTTTCAACATAGAAAAAAGGTGCCCTAAGGATAACAAGCAGTTCTAAATAACACACGCATAACATAGGTGCTTCCTGCTGCGTATTTTTGACACCCCTGAACAGTGGGAATGAAGATTTATGACTCTCACGCCAACTGATAACATCAATACGGGCTGCAGTGAGTACCCAGAGCCATCCTGGAACCAAACTGGTCTCTGAGCAAACCCAGCAGTTCAGGTGGGAACACCTCGCTACATACAACTTAGAAGGTCACTTTAAACTGCAGCGCATTTAGAAACAGGCATTATTTATTGCAGCAGCCACAGCTAGAGCCAGCACTCGTCTCTGACTTGGTTCTGTGATAAAGGGTCATGCTCTTGTTAGGGGTATGGGCAAGAACTACCCGCAGCAGCTCATAGCTGTGCAAAGAGGTAATCTCCGCTGGGGGGAACGACATCAAGCCATTAATCTTGCATTCCATTTGGGCTCTCTCCCACACGAATGGAGGAAGGTGTGTCATGACTCAGTTCGTTGCCAAAATAGCACAATGTGGTACTTCTTAGAGAAAAAATAAAGGATCTGGTGGAACAATTAAACTAAGAATGAATTTGATTTGAGCTCTCAGCCTTGAAATACCACAGTGAGCTTCGCTAAGTGCAGCTTACCTTCAGCAAACGACCAACAAGCCCCCGGTGCTTTGGGGAGTGCAGCAGCCTGTACGCTCTCCACGCAGCTAAGCTAACAGGTCACATCGCCAGCAACAGCCATGCCTTTCCTCTTCCTTCTGCTCATGTGAAAAGAAAGACAGCAATGGTCTGGGGCAAGCGGTAGGGAGAGAAGATGGACAGCAAGACCCCTGAGAGAGCTGGACTTTGTGGGAGGAAACCCAGGGGAAACAGGGTGACCCCACTGCTGGGGATTTGAATCTGATTTCTACCTTGTTCATCCGGAGTCTTCGGAGGCTGCACCCGGAGCCTTGTGCTCTGCCACACGCCTTACTCGCACCTATACTTGACTCGTTCCTTCATTCACTATTATTTTTTCTTAGAGATGTCAGAAGTGGTTTCAACTCAGCACTACTATTTCAGGGCTGTAGGAAGAATTTTAAAACAGGTTGATTAAGGCTTTGTAAACTCTTAATGCATTTGGCATGCGCTTGTCTTTTATACATCAGTCTGGCTTTCTCAGCAGACAAAAATGAAGACAAGGAATTCCTGCTTAGACAATTACCTGCTTAAAAGCACTGGATACACACCCAAGCCATTGAAAGTTTTTGTTTGTTTAGGGAAATACACAAGTGCATGCATGGCTACTAACAAGCTGTTGAGTTCTCCACGATACAGTCACCATGTTAAAAGAAAAATACACGATAAGACAAAGTTGGTCGCAGAAGTCAGAGTAATTGGTTAAATTTTCCATGATCTTTCCCTACTGAATGATAAATACATATTTATATCACTTACTGATACGCTCCATTGAGATTAAGATGTGCTGGATTTCATTTCAATATTGGGTTCCTGAGCAATGGCAAGCACAGCTAACACAGAAGCTGGAAATCACCGCAAGGTGAGCAAGGTACTCAGCAAATCACCCCCAGAGTGCCATTTGAACAGTTCAAATTAATGCAAGGAATTAATGCAACACTGATTGCAATTGGTGAGGACGTTACTGCAGAGCTAATACGAAATCTGAACTATAAATTATGACAGAAAAAGGGCTCCTGCAGCCCCCGTGAAAGGCACATGAAGAAAAAGGACATACAACTACTTTTTTAATGACGTAGGGTTTATCTGGAAGCCATCTGGAAGTTCACCACAAAGTACATTGCTTCTCGGTAACTGATAACCTGATAAACAGGGGCAATTCCCTTCCACCTTTACACCGAGACAGCCGTCCCGCACACTGCAACAGGGTAGGCTGAAGAAGACATGCAAAAGGTTTGCCCGGGGTCACAAACACGGTGTCACTCACGTTACCTCAGTCTTCAGCAAGGAACCTGTGCTGCTGGAGAGTCCCCAGGACCTCCCGTTGACGTTGCCGGAGAGGTCAGGTGAACTTTTGGAAGTGGTACACATGCTGCGCTTTTGCAATGAGATGTTTGCCTTTATCCAGTCATTATTTCCAAAACTATTCACTACTAACAATAGTGATAAATATAAGTATCCGAGGCAGGAGGTACTCTGTAATTCAGCATTCAATACCTACATTTATTAAACATTTTAAAAGGACAAGCCTAGGAGAAGTAAAGCACAAGGACTGGGATTCAATACATACATTCTTTGAGGGCAAAGTCTGCTGAGTCCTTCAATTCCAGACAGCACCTGCCCAGGAGTTCCTGTTTGCACTAGTTACCGGCGATCTTGGACTTCGCCCTTCCTCAAATACCATGCATAAAAATCAACACTACAAATAATAAGCCCCAGCAGCAGCTGAAACAAATCAGTAGAATGAGAAAAGTAAAGAATAAACCCCCACACGTATGACAAGGCTGGACAAACACTAGAGTGGAGCTGCGGTCCTGTTGGCACTAGCCCTTTGCCGCCACCTGAAATCCTGGAAGAGGCAGACGTGACTTAAACAAGATGCGTGTTAGGGAGAAAGAATGGATCCGCTCACCCAGTATTTGCAGTGACAGTAATTTATTCAGTAACAAGAAGCTCTTGCCTGCCCTGTCACAAATTTCTAGTAAACCGATTCTGGATTTCTCTCTCCCCACCTACTTCTTATTCCTGTCTTCCTTGCCACTCATTAATCTCTCTGCAGGCAAGAGCCTCAGCATCTGAGGCATCACTTCACTAGCACTCATTTCGTCAATTAAACTCTCACTCAAGACATCCCTCGCTGGAGAAGCTTGACCACCACTCGGTGAGGTTATTGCTGGCTTCACTTCTTGGCCTCCCGAGACCCACACAGCTCTTCCTTACTTTGCCCTTCTCCCTTAGGGCTTTCCTAAGCGTCTCTTGCTGAACCTCCATGCCTTCAACATCATCTCCTGCCTCCAGCTATACCTTGCTAAAAATTAGACTTTGTTAAAGCACTTTGGAGGCAGAATTACAGTTTACGGAAGTTTTTTGCTTTGTTTTTTTTTTTAAAAAGATGGTAAATGTCAGATCAGAGACCACATATCAATGTAATGCAGTGTCCTCAAGCTGTATTTGATGCATCTGTAAATCCAGAAATAGCAATGACAGTAAGGACAGGGTAATTGCTGAGCATTTCCAAGAGCTGTAGCACATATGCCACGGATAAAATATTCCTATGTATAATCATTCCTATCATATATATATACACACACACATACTGTGAATAAAGTGAAAGCATCAGAGCAAAAGAAATAGACGTGTCTAAAGAAGACAAGAAAGACTAACTGATACGTCCATTTCAATATTGATCCATTTCACAGTTTTCCTAGTTTCACTAAAAGAGATCATTACAATCAAGTAGCATTATTCTGGCAGCTGGTTAGTTTAAAATACATATGCCATCAGCTCTTGCTATAGCCATTTTTCGTTTCCATGCCCAGTTCCTCTGCCTTTGGGATAAAAGCACATTTTCTCCCCTCATCTGCTCTTCCTGGAGAGATTTTACAGTACTCCCTCACAGTGCCTCCCCACAGTTCCAGTGAAGAACTTGGCGTAGTCTGGGGCTATGCATAGAGCATGACAAATTTCAGAGGAAAAGATGATTAATCTGCTTCTTGAAAGTTAACTTTCGGGTTATCTGCCAGATTACAGCTTTAATTAAGGTAGTGCCTAGGAACATCAGGCAAATTAGGAAACTATTTCTGAACAAAACAGAGAGATAAATAACACAAATTTTGCCACTTCTAGTAAGAAGAAGGAAAAAAAAAAAAAAAAAGAGGCCAAATCCTGTGCCAGCTCAGCCAGCTGCAGCACAGCAACAGTGGAGACACCAAACAGCAAAGGATGATCTGGGTAGGTAAGAAAACAGGCAACAGAAAAGGTGACGAGATCTAACAGGAAAAGAGAACTTTAAGCACATGGCTCCTTACTTGTCCACACGCTGTCTTCTAAAGCTGTGCTAATGGTCCCTGTAAGAGTTTGCCATGAGGTCTTCTCATTATTTCAGTTTGTTTTTATTCGTGGGGAGTCACTCAAGATTTAGGTAGTGGAAAGCAATTTAAAAGTTATGAAAAAATGCATGATAGAGTCCCAGTTTTAAATAGACCTGGAAGCGAGCCTTGCCCTTACCCCTTCACTGGAGGAGAAAGGTGGGAACCTGTACACAGCTGATAAATACTCACCTGACACAGTAAGACCTGCACTAAACAAACTCTCAAGTTAATCACATTTTAAAGTTCACTGAGATTTTCTGCTTTTCTATTGAAGGGTCTGCTATCTAACTTCTGCAGTTCATTCAGTACGAGGTCCTACAAATCTACAGACATCATATAACCTTCTCTAATTACTATCAACCATTACTTCTTTACTATTCATCACATTTTTCATATCCTAGGAGATTGCTTGTCCTCATTTTAATCAGGTAACTCATTCCGTGAGTCAGCGTCCCTATAAATGTCAAGTCAATATTTTATTCTGTTAAGGCTGAAATTGAAAACCTTGCCTCAGAAACCAAACTCCATTTCACAGTCTAGGCTGTAAGTCAAAGTTGGGTGACGTGAGGAAAAGCTCAGAAGAAGGGAAGAAATTCCTGGAACATTTTGTGAGTGAGTGACAATAAACTGCCTGTCCCACTGAATCCCACCTCAGGTAAATCTCAGCCTCCCTACACTAGAGTGCACTGTCAAAGGCTCACCATTTCCAGTAAAGATTATTCTATTTTAGTAGGGATTTAAATGATATTCTGTATCCATTATTGGCCTACTCAGTGCTGAAAGGCTTAATGAATTGCCTGATATCTAGAAGCGTATATTATCAATCATTTAGTGGAAAGGCACCAGGCAGATTACCAAATGATTCTCTCTTCTTCCTTCTTTGTTTTTAATTAATAAAAAAATATGATATTGCTTTTAACTCCAGGAGGCTTTAGTAACCATTAAACCCAGAATACGAGCCATAGAGACATTAAAAGGAAACTTGTAAAGCTATTTCAGACAACAGTTGGTTCTGAATCTACAAAGGCTTTCTAATTTCAAAGCTTCAAGAGGACACCAATTTTGTGATTTGGCATAAAAAGGGGAATGGAGACAGTCTCTGTTTAGATGTTTGCTGGGAATTCATTCTCACAGCGTGGTGACTTTTCTTTCTGGGTGAAGATATAAAATTGAATTTACAGCTAAATTAGCTTCATAATATCAGTAAATGAGACTGCACCGCTCTATATATAGTCTTCTTGGAAACGTGAGATTCATCTGCCCTTTCCAAGACAGACAGCATTGAACAGACTAAGAACTCCAAGCCAAACATCTTCCAGATTTATTTTTTTTAGGTTCATAGTATTTATTTTCCTTATTTTAGATACAATTGAGCGGCAGCAGCAAAAACACATTTTTCTGAACTGCTGGGTAGCCTGCCTTTTCTCTGAAAGATGTGTCTGAACAACCAAGGTAGGCAGCACCCCTGGATGGGACCCGTGAAGCCTCTGAGAAGAGAGGAACGTTGACTTCTCACTGCCTTCTAGGACTGCTTCACAGGCACTAGTAAGGAAAATGCAAACAAAAGCTTCAAAAAAACTAAAAGAAACAATACCAACACTGACCTGGGAAGCATAATTTCCCACTTGAACAGATACTGCAGCAGAACAAGTGCAACCTTCAAAAGCATCACCAGCCAGAGCTGGTCATTCACCTCCCTGGAAAGCATCCCCTCTTCTGGTGGCAGCTGGGGCCCGTAACTCCTGACTCAGGCCATCAGAATCTGGGGAAAGACTGCAGTTTCTAAAAACTGCTTGTTTTAAACCAAAAGCTAACATGTTAAGATAGATACATAAAAACTTTAAAAACAAACAAACAAAAAAACCAAACATTTCGAGGCTTTCTCTGACACAGCTTTTTAGCTTTTAGCATGAACATCAATAGCTGAATTCCCAAGGAGGCTTGAGGCATGACTGGAATGACTTTGGCAAGATCTCCCATCCTGAGCAACAGAGCATGAATTTTTACTCCCTCAAACATTAAAAAAATGCTATTGACTAAAAGCAAAACCAACCCCTCCCTCATTTTTTACACATCACTAACTCCGAGCAATAGGGTGGGGTTAAAGCAAGGGAAGGGAGATGTTGTCCCCTTTCTGTTGCAGCTCCACAACTGTTATTCTGTTATCATCCACTCTGACAAACACATCCCAGCTGCCCACTGCTTGGCTTTAGAATCCACTTGGTTGCTGCAGGGAGCAGCTCCAGCTCGGACCAACGTGGGCTAGGGCCACTGCCAGCCCTCCTCTGCACCTGTGTCATCAGGCTGGTTCGGGGGGTGCGAGAGGGCAGAGGCTGTTTGAAATGGTAGCTGCCTCTCCTGAGCAGCGAGACGAAGGTTTTTGTTCCCCTAAGTAGGGCACTAAGATGATTTATAAGGACTGTTCAGCAAAATCAGAAAGGGTCCTCACCTTTCTCCTCCGTCTTGCTGTGCAGAAAATCGAATACAAATTAACCCTAGTCCACAGCTTCCAGCTGACGCTGGTTTCTTTGGTGAGACCGTCAGACTCTGAGGTGCACGGACATGATGCAGAAGACAGGCAGACGGGGAAGGAAGCTCACCCTGAAGCACGAAAAACCTGCCAGCGAGCGAGGGAGGGCTGGCTGTCAGAGCACGGGGTGACAGCCTCTGCTCCGGCGGCGCAGTGCAGCGGGGAAGGCGGCTGGCTTTTCAAAGACACCGGGTGTGCTCCCTGCAGCACCTCTTGCTTTCACCTTTTCACCAGTTTCTCCTAAGTGAAACAACAAACAAGGTGCCTTTGTTATGTAGTTATTTATTTATTTTGCTAGATATTACCAGTGGTTGTTAATGTAGCAGAAAAAGAACAGGACAAACCAGAGAAGATGCACGTGCTGTGTTTGGCACGCAGGTGGCACAAATCCTAAAATCCCTCTGTTTAGAAACTTTTTCTCCTTTAATTATCTGCTGTGCTGTGACTTTCATTCTGCCTTTGCTGTGTCAACTCACACATGAGCAGTCAAAAAGAAACAACATGGACTTTCTGAATCTGAACACCGAAAGCTTTCCATGAACACAAAGGAACGAGGAACCACAGATCCACACAGCAATCCAGACCTGCCGAGAAAAAGTACCACTCTGCTTCCTCTTTTCTCCTGGCAGAATAAAAGCAAGGCTTACATCCTGCAATGAGCAACCAGCCCAGGGTGTGCTGGGTGACCCAACAGACCTTTTGCATCTCTAACATCTGATTCAGTGCAAAGAATCCAGACCTGTGACTCACGACATCAGGCTGAACAAGCAGTGACGTGGCTGGAGCCAAAAGATCTCCAAATATTTCCACAGTGCCCGGTGCCATATCGTAAGCACACCATGCAGAGAAAGAAGAGGATGTGTTCAAGACAGGAACATGAACCAGGAGACTGCATGCCAGCCTGATCTCTGGGCTCAAGACTGCGTGGGCAGGGAGTGGAAAGGAATTGCAAACTCGGTACCTTGCAGATAGGCGCAGGATCTGATTCACATCATAGTCATCTGCAATACCTTGCGGCTGCGAGGCCAAATACTTTCATCTCCCCAGCTCTCCTAAGCTGAGCGGTGTGAGCTGGATCAATATTTGCAGTGGAAGGTCTCCAAGTGGCAGCACACAGGCGGGAAGCACTTCTGATGGGAGCCGGCTCCTGCCCCAGCGCAGAGCCAGGACCTCAGGGCGACGCTGGAACGGTGTCCCCGTGGTGCTGCTTCTTGCAGCGGGCTGTAAGGGGTGGCACAAGCACCCAGCGGATTTCTCCCTGCAGAGGGTTTCCCGGTACACCAAACAAGGCCCGGCCAACGCAACTGCATCCTAGCCCCTTGCAGAAGCTGGAGGGAGGATGGACGCTCCCCACTAGCAAAGCCAGATCTGAAATCTCAGATCATTTTCAATACAAATTAAGGATACGTTTAAGGAGTGCGTTGGTTTTCTTGAGCTGTCATCTCCAGTTTAAAATAATCCATTAATAGATAATGCTAAGTTTGAAATAAGGATATTTGCATATGCTCCAGCCCATTTTGTCTATTTTTGGCCTAAGAATTCAAGACTGAAAAATAAACACAAACGAAGTACAGTCATCTCCTTGTCACTGAAACAAACACCAAGTCATAAATTATCATTGTCATGGAAAAGACTTCATCAGGACAAAGAGACTCAATGCCACTGCCCGCAGCAAAGATACCATTAATGAAATAAATCACATCATTCACAGCTACAAGTGTTTCGATTTAAATGCAAAAAAATAGGGAGAATAGGACTGTGTGTACTTGGATGAAACAGTACAATCTGTATCAGTGTACTGCACATGTCAACACTGCTCGTACAATGAAGAAAGAGGAAATGTAACACAGTCAGATAATTTTATTAATCTTCTGCACAATGGACATCTACTAAACTCACATAGCCAAAGGTCCACGTGCTATATATTCTATCAAATGGCTCCCCATAAATAAATAAGATGCCACAGGAAAAAAGTAAGAATGAAAGCTCATCTATCGGTATCTCCTAAGGCTGGTGGGCAAATATTTTAATAAAATTCAAGATGACTTGGGGCTACATAGGAGCATGCTGATGTTTTTCAGCATAGCAAGCTGGTATGTCCAGCTAATACCAATTTTAGCCAAATTTGAAAGACAACTGGAGGTGAAAAGTGCATTTTTTTTTCCCCTCACATGCAAATCAGTAGCATGGGGGACAGAAACCTAGGCAAGTAGCCAGATAGAGAGAAGAAACAGCTACAACCCAGTGCTCCATCTCGGGAGGAGCAACCAGCTGAGTGACAAGCATATTGACACTGACCTGCCCAGCAGCACGTTCATAACTACAGATCAGCCCAAATGCTGCTGCTTGCCCAGAGAAATGCAGGAGGGGAACTCAGTCATCCTGGAAAAGCAGAAGAAAAAGCAGTATGGGTGAGCAGGTGATGGGGATACAGAACACAAACACGTAGGAAAGCTACCTCAGCTCTGCTGTGAGCACAAAACTTGCTTTTCTCAAAGATTTATGATTATGTTCTTCAACTGAGACACTAACAGATGAAATCCTTCATCCTTCTAAGAGAATTAGTCACAATATTGAGTGAAGTGTAGCTTTAAATGAGACTTAAGTTCCAGCGTACTTAGTGCAAGGGGACTTCTTGCTGTCAGCCATCCCACAGCCCCTCAGAGGAGGAAGATAAGATGTGACTGAAGAAGGGCTGATCTGAAGTGCACCATATAGTTTTCCTCTAACACAAACAACTTCAGTTTTATACACACACACACATATATATACACACATATATATACAAACAAATAATTTTTAAACACCAAAGTCCCAGACATCTCACAGGCACCTTCAGAAACACACAGTGAGACATTTAAAAAAAAAAAAAAAATGTCCAGAAGCTCTGGTGAGAAAGTGGGTTCAAAAATGTGAAAAGATGAATTTGTTTGAAGAGAAAGCCCTAGTCTTGAAGATCTAAGTAAAAGACAAATGCGTGGCATGCTCAGGAAAAGATGCCATCAATGAATTCTCTTCTCTAGGAAGGCCCCTAAATTTTTCTAGATAAACCCCACCAGGAGACAGAACAGGTCAAAAATAGCCAACCCCTACTACCTTGCAGGAATATAGGGAAAGAGAGAGCCATTCCAGTATCTCAGTGTGGTCCTTCAAAGGAGCAGTCTGCAAACCCAGTCCCAGCCTATCCACAGGGCCTTCCTAAGCAGCCAGGTGCCACCGACAGTGTGGCAAGAGCCAGAAGCACTCCAGAGAGCCACGGGCACATGCACGTCCTGCACCAGGCAGCAGCAGGAGGGGCACACAGGATGCAGCTTCTTACACACATGTGCGATTCACTCCAACAGATCAGCTCTGCTTTTTACCTGATCTTCTTGTCCCAGCAGACATCCTCTGCAAGCACACGACGACCTCCTGTCCTAGAGCAGAGCAGAAGCCATCTGCCACCCCCCCCGTGCCCTCTCCAAGGCAGGAGAAACATTTTAGCTGTGTTGGCTCCAGATGACCTAGAAAATAAGTGGTAACAAGAACTTGGTTTAAAATCAGTAACACAAAGAGCTATGATTAAATGAATATATATGGACAACGGATCTGCTGCAGAAGGACCGTGTGTGAAGCATAAAAGGAACACGATTTCAAATAGTCATTTTTTTTTACAGCAGCATGCTATCCCTTTCACAGCACAGAAGAAATACACAGCTGTATTCAGGATACCCAAGCAGAGAGCCCAGAAGAACTGAAGAGTTTTTATGTCAACAGAAAGGTAGACTTTCTTCTCTCCTTTCTTCTCCTTTACACAAACACATTATGCGGTGCCAAAAAAAAAAAAAAAAAAGAGAGAGAGAAGGAAATGAAAGGAAAATGGATCAGTTGAAGCCTCCAGGAAAGATAACCTTCAAAGGAAATTTAGCGGAAAATTGAAGAAAATAGAAGCTGAGATTTCTCTTGTACCTCATGGCTACAGACACAGATAAGTAGGAGAAAAGGCTGCAAGCAGCATTGCTCCTTTTTGTGACAAGAGAGGAAGCCCCAGATATATGCAATCAATTCCAAAGGGAGAAAGATAATGAGAAATTAGAAATACCCATGAATAGTTTTGAAGTCTACTGCTTCTGGACACACATCATTGACAAGAACATGCGAATTCAACAGAGAGAGGGAAGCGAGTGATCCATGTGTGACACTTCAAACTCACAGGAACAACCAAGAAAACTTTAAAAAGTGACCAAAACCATTCAACTTTCAGAAATTTTTCCCATTCATTACAGATATATCTGTGAATAAGTAGAAAACGACTTCATAAACAACCCGATCCATGTGAGATGGACCAAAACTTAGCGCCTCCTTCCAACAACTTGTTGCTGCCTGCACAGGAGATGGAGAATCTGGAAAGGGAAAACATCACAGGAAAATCTGAGACAAACACTGAAGTCTCAATTTGTAATTAACAGTAATTCCAAGAGTGAGGTTACTGCTTTGTTTTGGGTATTTATTATTATTACTTTTTTTTAAAGTAGCATACAAGCTGATCACTGAGCTAGCAGAGGGGTTGGGGCAAGAATTGCAGTGCTCCCTCAACTGTATTGTCTTGATTTGGCACTGGGGAGAAATACCAGCATTTTCTTCACAGTTTCTGGGTTTAATTAATTTGCCTGTTAGGGCAGTGTGTCCCCGAAGTGGGGGGAAGTCAGCTGGAGGGTGAAGGCACAGAAAGAAACCTGAGATTGCCTTCTTTAAAAGCCAGGCGTGCTGGTTCGTGCAGGGGCTGCCGGCTGGGTGAATACCCTCCGCCCTCCCCCTTCCTGAGACCAGGCTGTCCCACCTCTGGGGACCCCGGGGGACTGACAGAATTCAAGTTGATCCCAACAGCAGGAATCTTAACAAAGGGTAGCCATGGAAACAAGGCACTCCTACCAAAAAAAAAAAAAAAAAAAAAAAAAAAAGAAAAAAGAAAAGGAAGATGCTTTTCTGCAATATTCTGCAACATCTAGGGACTTGCTGGTTACACCTCATTTTCTCTCTCTCACATTTCTACAGTAAACAAGAAAAAAAACGAAGCACTCGCAGTTTTAAGATGACATTTATGAATGACCTGAATCCTTCAAAACAGTCTTATCACAGACGAGGCACCCAGCTGGAGAAGCAGTGGACACGCTTCCAGTTTTACAGCTTCCTTCCATGGGTGTCGGCCTGCGCTCAAGTCTTGGCCGCGGCCTCCCAAAACAAATAAATCTTTAAACAATAAGCTATAGATTAAAAGCCTGAGAGGCTCCCCTGTGACCCACGCAGAAATAAGAGCATTAGAGAGAGGCCTGGAGCCTGGTGGTGCAGAAAGTTCGGTCACTGGAGACGCGAGCTCATATTTGATGCATGGGTGGAGGCGGAGCGGGCGTGCAGCCCTCCGACACCTGCGGGATTTGCTCTTGCCGCAGCACTCACGCAGCCACAGCTTCTTGACGATCGGAGACGAGGGGCTGGAATAATGGAGGCGCCGCAGGCAGAAGCCATGGAGATTCAAGCAGCAGAGCTAGGTGGAAATCTGTACTCGGTACGTTTGCTTACCTGCTACCAGAAGCCCTGCAGAGCACCTGCCACCTTCGGGTGCAAATGTCAGCTCCGCTGGTGAGACTTGGGTAGTACAAAGCCTGCAGCAGGTCGCTTCTGTGTCTGACCTGCAGGAGACACCCATTTCCCCCTCTTCACCTCTTTCTGAGTCGGATAGAGTCTGTACCTGCAACTGGCCCTCCCTTTCAAGAGCCCAGGAAGGTGTTTCCAGCAGATACAGGCAGCTCAAGGAGACGTGCTCCCCGCCTCTCCCTCGCGATGGCACGCAGCACAGGCCTCAGAGGGACATCCAGCACCTTCCCCAGCTCCTCAGGACCCCAGCTGCATTTGGTGAAATAAAATGCAAAACAATTTCATTGAAAATGTAACAAGATCTCGAATCCAACTGGTGATGAAAAAAGGAATGCTGCCACAGGACTCTGCTTTGTATGATGTATTGGCTAAGAAGGCCAGGTCCCTTTCTATTAAAACAAGGCAAAAAAAAAAAATAAAGCCAACGCTGTGAGTGCGTAAGCGGATTTTCCCCTACAGCTGACACTGATTCTAAATTGAACTCCATTGTTTTCATAATTTGCAACCTCTGGTTTCTCCATAATTACCATGTTGTGAAATGAGCAAGAACAGCCAGTATATACCCACAGGGAAGAATTACATTAGTGACCCTATAATGATCCAGAATGAGGAAGATGCAATAAAGGAACCACAGTATTCGTTAATGAATAAGATCAGTAAGAAAGGAAGAAGTTAGAGCTAATGAGTGTACATGCAATTTAGATGTGGAAGCTGCAGGCAGAAGTAGCCAATGTTTTTATTCCAACAATGGTCTTAGCCATAAAACACTTCATTAGAGACAATCATCTTCTGAAAAAAATACCCAAATCCTCCATTTGCAGAATGCTGGACAACAACTATTTTAAAAATGCTTTGCCTTTAAAATATGATGTATGGAAATTAGCTATTGCACACAAAACACGTTCTGCTAAATACTAATCTTAACCTCATCTGATTTTCGCGTTGCTGCTTCCATCTGTTTTTCCCTTGCACCACTGAACTGTCTTTCTGCTGACCATCAAAATAAAAAATAATCTCTCAGCAATACTCTGTTCTCCTTTTTCCATCTGCTATTCATGGGGGCCCGTTAAGTATTCATAAATGAATTATAAGCCAGCCACTAAGACAACAGACGACCGTGGGGAACTACAGAATTACAGAAAGCTTGAAGAGTGCCTGGAGGTCTCCTCCTCCAGACTCAAAGCAGGGCTAAGTTCAAAGTGAGATCAGGTTGTTCAAGACCATATCCAGTCGAGCTTTGACCATTTCCAAAGACAGCAAATACAGAGCCTCCTAGAGCAACCTGTTCCAGGGCTTAACAGCCACCACTGTGATTTTTTTCCTCATAGTTACAGCAGGGATTTCCCTTCCTACAGGCTACCTTCCCTTGTTTCATTCCCACAATCTTGTGTTGTGCCTCTCACAGAGTGAGAAAATGTATAACGCTAGGTAAAGAGAAGACAAAAATCATTTGAAATTCATATCATCACTCAGATAACAAAGTCATAACCGGTGGCACAGCATACCGTGGTCCAAACATGTCTAGCATGTTACATGCATACCATTCCTGCCTCCTTAAAACTTATCTAATATTCAAAACAATTTTACGGTGGGAAGAGCTCATCTAGTTAAAGCGTTCTGGCTCAAGTACAGTTTCTGGGGTACCTTTTGGGAAAGGCAAGTTCCCCTCCACTGACATAGCTCGCACTAATTAACTTGCGGTTGCATATTTGCCCCTGTGACTGATCTGTACCAACAAAGATTTTGATTTGCGTTCACGCTTTGACATGCAGATACAAAACCAGAGAATAAGCTTTAGCCTGCTCCAGCATCATTAAAGAATGTAAAATTCCATATGTGCGAACTCCATCCTGCCTACTTAACACTCCTACCTTTCAGGATTAAATATACACTTGCATCTAGCGAATAATTACATCTGGTATCACAACTCGATGGTATACTTTAACTGCTTGAGAAAACTCGAGAGAACGGTGAGCATCACAGCAGCCATTTTCTTCAACAACCACGAGAAGCATTTCTCTGTACCCCTAAGGGCTATACATCCAACAGCATTCTCAATTGTTAAAAAAAAATATGGTATATTCAGAAATAATTAGTAAAAATTCTTATTTGAAAGATTATTTTTTTTTTTAATTAAGACTAATCTGGTAGTTACTAGTGGCAAACATCTGAACGATTTGTGTTTGCATTGTGCATTAAAAACTGCTCACTGACAACGACAGTAATCCTTCATTTCAATCAATTTAAAGCATATTCCTTTCTTATACGCAGAGATAGCAAAAGAAGTTAACAAATATCTCATAGACTCCTTTAATCTCTCAGCAGTCTGCCAGATGAAGTATCGCTAAGCCATTTTTTTCTCAAAATCCCATCGGTATTTGACGAACTGTTTCAGATGAATGACAATTTTGAAGGATTCACCTAAGCAAAATAATGAACCCACACTTCTGAAGTGCCACTGGGGTGAGGTCAGGCAGAGAATGAGTCTGCCAGCATAACTGACTGCATTTGTCTCCTGTCAGAGCCCTTGTCTTGGAACACAAGAAATGCTTCCATAAGCCTACTGGCTTGACAGAGATGGAAAAATTGATTGATTTTTAATCTTCAAGAAGTCTTCAAGGAATTTAGAATAATAGGAAGATCTAAGCTGGATCTTACACTTACAGGTTTCCTTGCCACTTCAGGACCAACCTCTAGCAAATGACAACCTTCCTGGTGTGTCATATCAACGATCTCATGGACTAGTCCCATATCTAGCACAGAAAAAGCTTGATTTAACACTGTTCTAGCATTATTGATACCGCAGCATAGCTGTACATGAAGTTATGCTTCCTTGGATCCGCACTGCACAGCAGAGACGATCATCAGGCAGCTATTCTCCAGCTTAGATCCTATTTTCACCCGTGCCTGATTTCTGCAGGTAAAGAACCAACACAAGACCTGTATCTCTAAATGGTCACTTAACTTCTGAAAGTCAAACAAAAATGCATTGGGTGGCCATTGGGCAATCTAGGCAGTTCCGCTGGATTTTGAAAGGGTAACATGGAGCTCAACTACGTGAAGGGCACCAATTCCACATACTTTTCAGATGACCCAACTTGATATGATAATCTATAATGTTCAAGCTATACCATATTTAAGACATGAAATGACAAGTGGTTTAATACCTGCACCACTTACGTCACCCAGGAAAACTTCTCTCACGTGCTACAGACTCACTGCACAACAGACCTACGTTATCCATCACTGCCACTCTCATTTTCTGGGTATTAGTGTTTCAGGAAAGACGTCTCTGTAAATGAGGCCGACCATTGCTTTAGATGTCATTCCCTTTCCAAGCTCCCAATTAATCAAATGCAATTTCAACTTACTCTAAGAGCTATTCACCACAAAACACGATGTTAAAAAGCCAGATTCTTCCTAAAAGAGCAAGACCTGGTCCTCTCCAATCCCCTAAATCAGCCTGTTTTGTTGCAACCTGAAGCAAATACACAGTGGTATATACAGCACTATATTCTTATTTGAGCTTGAAAGCACTCAGTTGCTTTTTTTTTTTTTTTTTTTTAGGCTGAGAAAATTGTATTAACATCAGTAATCTCATTATTTCAACCGTGCTTCAGAGTACTACCTGTGGTTACTAGGAAGTTTAATATCATAGAGGAAAACACAATTTTAATTGAAACAAAGTTCCTTTGAATTGCTTATACCCAGGGGAAAAACAATCCATGTTCTGGAAGCTTTGCATTCTTGTGTTACTCATACATTCGCACAATTCTCAACATCTGTCACCTGTAATTAAATATAATGCTATTATCCTGTCTCTCTGTGAAAAATTTGACGTGTTGGAACACCGGAGGGCATCTGGTCTTCCTTAACGTTGCTCACAAGCAA